GGTCATTATTGAACCTAACTAGCCAATTCATTTCCTATTAAGATGCATTTATTCAATCGTCATTATAGATACTATAGTTTTTTTTTTTTTTGTTTAATCATTATCTTATATGTGTGAAATTTTATAACTTTCTAAATAAGTTTCCACTGTTATAAATTTTATAACATGAATTGTACATAAACTCGTGGGTGAATTTGGTAGCATAAACTTGTTTACTTTGAAGGTCTATCTATTGAGTCAAACGAATATATTTTACTTTAATTTATATTTGACCTTATTAGGAATTTACTAATAGTGGCAAGTTAAATAGTGTGCCATTCAAGCAAAATCTTGATTTAGTCAAAAAGTTGAATTTCACATGGTAATTAATAATATCTTAAAATTCTGTTTGACGTAGTCCCTTGCGAATCAAGCAAGGCTATACTCAGTCATTTCCATATATACAATTTTTACGATGTGGGGCTGACTTTTGCATGCGTTAAATATGTTAATATTCAGCTACTTTTTTAGTTCGCGCATACAAAAAAAAAAATAATAGTAATAAATTGACTACTAGCTCAATTTTAAAAATCGAAAGCATGAAAGACACAGACAAGAAGAATAAATGAATAACGTCATCAGTGTTTACTACTTCTCACAAATTGGTTTGGATTTCACATGTGGAACCTATACAATACGAGTCATGGTGTTTAGCGCTGATAGTGCTAAATAAAACTATTCAAAGTAATAGTCTCATTCGTTTTGTTTGTTCGAGTTGAAAATAGTGCTAAATAAACTATTTAAAGTAGTGGTTTCATTCGTTTTGTTTGTCTGAGTAGTGAATTTGAGCTTAAAAGGTGAATTCATGTAAGAGAAAATACTGTAACAGAAAAAAATGTTGAATTTAAATTTTTATAAGAGAAAATATCGTAAAAAAAAAAAATAAAATTTGTATCGTAATTCGAACTAGTAAAATAAACGGATCATTATATAATGTTATAAATCCAATAGCAAGCGCATTATTATTTCCTATAAAAAGGGGAAAAAAAGTTATTAGAGCAGTATTAATTAAAGTCGTATTGTTTGTCCGTCATGCATGCATATTACATGTTACATAACAAGGAAACAATTGGAAACGATCAAAGAGGCTAAAAGTACCACTGTCAAGTGAAATGTAGGAACTGCGATAATCATGAGTACCATCATTACAAGTCTTGTCTATCTGAACAAAAGAATCTTATTTTTTATTTGCAGTATTTGCTGCACATGTGTGATCCAATATACAACATCTTATAGCCATCCTAATTATTACAAAAAAAAAACAAAAAAAAAAGGGAAAAAATAAAGATGAAAATACAACATGTATCTTATATGATTGCTTTAGAGTTTGCTTTGTATGAGCGGAGGGATAGGTCACTTTTGTAACCTTCAAACTATCTTGCAGACGTGACGTTTGTTTTCTGTATTCGTCAATGATTCTGAATTATGATTCATAATTCTCTACAGTGATTTTCTCTCACAAAAAATACACGTAAAATGAGAATAGTCATGAATCATAATTCTGAATACATGAACTAAACATCCACTAGTGACCAGGGCCTCTGGGGCTGGGACCCGAGGCTAGCCGCTCGAGCCAGCACGACATGGTAAACTTGGCCTTCTCATACACCGATGAAGAGTACGTCTGGATGTGATTAGCCCTTGTGAAGTTCTCGGATAGAACCCTGCTTGCTTCGACCCCTGTTTGGCTCAAAAAGGCCAGAGTGACAACAAAAACAACAATCAAGAGGGTGCTTTTCTTTAGGAAATTCATCTTTTGAAATATACCTCTTTAGTTTTGTGGTTTTGGCTTCTTTTTTTTTTCCCCCTTTTAAGCTGAGAAAATGTATTTATTCGATAGAGGAGCTTTGAAGGTGGTTATTATAACTTGTGGCGGTATAGAGTTTATAAAGTGTGACCAGTATTTATAGCGATTTTGGGATCATAGAGTTTTTTGCCTGGAGTTAGGCGGAGGCTTTTTGCTGGTGGGCTTTTATTGGATTACGTGTTGACCAAGGATCTCTGAAACGGTCACGCAGTTTGATGACATGTACAAGTAGCAGCTAGCTGAATTTGTCAACGGCTTTTAAGTTTGAACTCCTGAAAATTACTTGTATGCCACTGTGTCCATTAAATAAAAAGTCTATTAATGGAAAGATTTGCTCTCTGTTCTTACACGTACGATTCTATATCGATACAGTTTGCGGTCGTTAGATCGCATTAAAATTATATTTATATAAAAAAATAGGAGAATAAAATATACTTATTTAATAGAAGTAATAAGCATTATAATTTTTCCGTTGATTTTTCTAGAGGGATAGTGCAGGAGCAATTAGGTGGATTTGAAATTTGAGTAAGGAAACGGAGTAATTAGTTTTAAGTCTTTAACTTGGAAATTTTGAATTGACTGATCGGTCTTTGATCTTGTATTTGAATGGACTGGGCAAGAAAATTTTGAAATTGCTAGAGGAAATTACCCAGATGGCACCTGATTTAAATATTGAAGACAATGACCGTGTTTAGAATTGATCATGTTTTTATTTTTTACGTTTTTTTAAAAAAAAAAAAACGTTTTTAAAACGGTGTTTGACGCAATAAAGACAGAAAAAGAAATAAAAATGATTTTTTGGGTTAGTGTAAAATGAGAGAAATAAAAAATGACTTTTAGTCGTTTTTCATTTTTTATTTCATTCTCTCCTCTCTCGAGCAGAGAGAGAGAAAGAGAGACATTAATGAGTTTTTTACACTGAAAACAATCTCTTAATAAAATTACTAAATGTATTTTTAAAAATAATTTCTGTCTGAGATTAAAAATATTTTTATTTTTATTTTTATATAAAAAATAAAATTATTTTAAAAAAATTCTAAACGCGCCCGATATAACCCATTGAATTTTAAAGCTTATGCACCCGAATAGGGTTCCATTTAGGAATAAAGAGAAAAAAGGGTAAAAAAAAAGAGGGAAATCTTTCAAGTTAAAATAAGGCCCATCTGATTCGACAAAAGTAAAAAATGAGTAACGTCATGCTAATAGTCAGCAATAATAGAACTGTCACCAATGGCCACCAATAGTCTCTATTACAATTAAACGCATAAAAAGTTGGGTTAACATTTAAGTGTGACAGTTGGACTTGGACCGCCGCACAATCACAATTTTTGATTTGTCAATTATTAAATGCTTTATTTTCCAAATTTTTTATGCTTCTAATTACATAACAACTTTTCTCATAAAAAAAATTGCATAACAGCTTCACATGTGATTGTTTTACAAGAAATCAGAAAAAACTTATTTTATTTCACCGCGTAAATTAAGGACCCGCTAATAAGATGAAAAATGACTTACCAAAAAAAAAAAGCACCGACCCGGCGGTTTGCCTTGAGCCTGTCACGTCTTCTAAAACGACACAAGGACATGTTACTTGACCTGAAGAACAAACACCATGCCGTTTATTAGGAGTCAGACGATTTTCGTCGGGACGACAAAGGTTTGAACCGTAAAATGAAATAAATGTCGTTTATATTTCCTTTCACCTTGAAATATTATAAATGACTTGAAATATTATAAATGACTTTCTTGCGGATTGAGTTGTACAAAAAAAGAGCCAACTGAGTGAGACCGATAACAACCGACCGAAACTGACTAAAAAAGTAGGTGTTATGTCACGATTGAACGGTGGTGGTCAATTAAGACTCATGTTTCGTTCATTTCACCAATTTGAGTTTTCAATTTTAGGTTTCTATAGTAAAAATCTCTCAGAAAATGTCACATCTAACTTTTTTCTGCTACAGTGAAAAACTCTCAGAAAATAGTACATCTCAGCTCGAATTGAAAACTCAAATCCACAAAGTGAACGAAGCCTTAGTATCTCAATTCGGTTTCGATTTCATGTTTTAGATTTCGGTCAGTTAACCGAACTAAAAATATAAATTGCCATAAAAAATATTTTTAAAAATATTTTAAAATACTTAAAAGTAATACTCCATCTACTAGTCTTTCGATTAAAATACTGTAAAAATACTTAAAAGTTACTCTATCTACTACTAATTTTGTAAAAATACTTGAAACAAAATGTTTTTAAAAATATTGTAAAAATATTTAAAAGTCTTTCGGTTGACCATTAAAATTAAACCGAACTGATTGAGTATGACGGTTCAATTGATGTTCGGTTTTGTACCCCCATTGGACTGTTTCAGTTCTAGTTATCTGCAATTGGACTGTTTCAGTTCTAGTTATCTGCAAAATTGACGGTTCGATCACTGAATCAAGAAAAACCGACCAATGTACACCCCTACTCGCAGATATATGTAAACGACTTGTTCTTTTCTTAAGAAACATAATCGGCAGTGCGTTTTTCTTTCATAGAATGCCGTTTCACTTACAAAAGTAAAGGACATGTCGTCTCATAGGTCAGTTACTCAGTCGAGATGGCGTTGTTATGTAGTTTAGTTTTGCTCGACAACGACATGTCGTATTTCGTTGACAATTTGCATGGAAAACATCACAATGACTCTTTCCTGGCTTTTTATTTTTTATTTTTCCTTTTCATTTTTCCACTTTAATACAGACTGCGGCATAAAACAACTACTAAAATACTACAAAGAATAACTTATAAGAAAAGATGGGTAATAAGAAAAGCATGCTTATATATAACATAGTGATGATGAAGGGATAAATCATAAGAATAATAATTACTAGCAGACTAACAGTTACAAAAGAAATTAGGGGAAAATTATATTTTTGTGATATTTTTAGATAAAAATGTAAATTTATTAACGTTCGAATTCTCAATATTGAACTCTTTTGTATTTTTAGCACCACAATCTGCATATGCCGTGAAATAAAAAGCCATTAGTTGCCTCTCACGTTGAATGATCACTTCGACGACCAGAGAAGATCTGTCGTTTCATCTGTAGTCTCTAGCAGTATTAGCACTTAGAATGTACGTTCTAATGAATAACTACTATTTGTGGAAGACACCATATACCATTAATGATAATTGCCAAAACCCATCTCAATATACATTTATCGGCTGTCAAACATTAATCCCAAAGTTATCACACAGAAGTATACATTAAGTATGATACATCTCTAGAATCAATTTGATTAAACCTTGGTTTTTTTTTTAATCGAGTATCTAATTAAATCTGTTTGGCCTTTCACTATACAATTACAAATGTAAAAACAGAGGATATTAAATTAAAGCAAAATTTGACGTTTCTTACTTAGAAGTCCTTGGCCTTCTGTCTCAATTCCTTGAGCTCCCTCTCTATCTCAGCATCTTGAAACGGATATGGTGTGTTTGAGCTGGAAGCGACGGTTCTTCCTGGCGGAAGCTCTCCTTTCTTTCAAGTGTGAGAGAGAAGAAAGAACAAACAAAATTGAGCAAGACTTTAATGGTGGGTTAATATGTCAGAACAAGAAGAAAGAGCAAAATGTAACTAGAAATACGGTTGCATTGTTTCAAGAGTATGGCCTATTGTTTCCTGTAAAGTGCAATAGGTAGACACACCTTTGAGCTACCAGAAAGTTCTTTCTTCAAGTTTGCCAAATCATCATCAACTGATGAGCTCTCTAGCAATGCAAACTGCGATAAGATCATTTATGAGCACATAACTTGGATAAATAATACCAAATTCACCGTATAGCTAATATAAAAGAATAAACATCTGCACAAGCTAAACACCAACTGGGAATGGGTCCTACCTTCCCTTCCAGATCATCAGCAGTTAGCTGGCCAAGAGCTTCTGCCTGGGATTCCATCGCCATCACTGTTAACATGTAAACAAATGACAATGAAGAAGAAAAAAAGCAATAACTAGCTAAAAATAAAATAAAATAAAATGTGAATCCGTAACGAATGCAATCAGGAGATAAGCAATAATAGGAACGAGATTCTAGTCAGTTTAGAGAATCAACTTCCCTCTTGAAACAAGGACCCTATAAACTCAGAAGTTCAGATACCCAATCCTGTAAAAAGTTTTCTAATCCACGCATGGGTACTACATCACATGAATCCCAACCATGCAACAACTGCTCACCAAGGAAAAATGCAGAATAGGAGTCTTTTCTGAAACATCTTCCCTTTTAAAGGAACTTTTGATTAAAAAAAAAAAAATCTTTACAGTAAAATCATTTCATAGAAAATTACTAAATTCTTTAAGCACAGTTTTCCCTCTTTGTGTGATTCTTAAATATCCGCTTTTGGGTTGTCACCAAATGCAACAGCTGCCTCATGAGTTATCCATGCATTGCATGTGTGATACACAATTCTAATGAAATTCATTGGAGAAATCCAGGTGAATCAAGATCTTGACGAGCGCACTAAAAATAATTGGTCTATTTGCTCTCAGAAAGATTAAAGTACTTATCAATTAGTTGGTCGATCTGATTTTGATTAAAAAGAACTGGCTTCTAGAACAACTATACAGCATGCTTCTTAACATCACATGTATGTTCAACCAGTGAATTCAGATGTATACTAAGTCTATACCTTTCTCTTCCATCTTTTCAAAAGCAGAAAGTGCACTACTTGTATTGACATTCCCCAACAATTCACTCACTTTGGTTGCAGTCCTGAGGCAAAATGAAAGCAACCATTACCATAAATATCAAGGAGATAACAACTCAGAAAAAAAAAGACCCGGAAATGGGTGTTTGGGACAAACTTTGCAGATTGTGCACGGGCTTTCAAGGTATCTTTCTTGGACCTTGCTTCCTGTATCTTGCTCTCCAAAAGCTACCAAAATGGAATTCATGTGATGCCGACAAATAATTAATAATTACTAAATTATTTATACCCACAAATGAAAGTGTAAGATCAAGTCCATGATACTTGCATAGTTTTGCAAGTTCTGTAGTCAGACTCATTACTCATAAAAGGTTGGAAAGGGGTTTAGGTAAAAAAATGAAGGAAAGAAAATCCCATATTGTAGCCAAATCGTTATATAAAGAGAAGAAAAGAAGGAGAAAAGGAAGAACTCTTGAAGATAAAATGTACTTAAGCTAATTTTGGAAAACATATTCATATAGCATTATCTATAACCTGTTTCCAACTTGCATCTCTTGTGTAAAAAATAAATAAAGAAAAAATAAAAAGGAAGAAAAGAAGAAGATTTAGCTTACCCGCGTGTTAGACACAAGATTTTCAACAACACTTTTTTGTTGATCAAGTTGAGCTTTCAAAGAATTGGCATTATCCTGAAAGGAACAAGAAGCACGTAATGTTTGTCTGATAAAAAAGTATAATCAAGTCACTAACTAGCATTTTTAACCACTCTATCAATAATGCTGAACTTACTGCAAAGGATTTACGCCGTTTTAAAGCTTCTCGTGCAAGATCCTCATCTCCTTTCTCCAAGGCAAATTGAGCCTTGCGGTACCTAGATTACATAATAGACCGTGATGTTAAGTACTCTTCACAGCAAAAAGGAGGAAAGATTCATTCCCTTTTGCATTACCAATCCTCAGAGGCTTGTTGAGCAGCTTTGTACTTGTTCTCCAAACGCTTTTGAGATGCTAATACCTTAAAAAGGTCAAGAAGAAAAAGAATACAAAGAAAAAAGAATATCAGTTCAAGCTGAAGATACCTTAATAAGGTCAAGAAGAAAAAGAATAGAAAGAAAAATGATTATCAGTTCAAGCTGAAGATAACGAGGGAAGGCCAGAAACACAATGTAAGTGGAAATGAATAGATGAAAAATACTGGATCTGAAGCTATCTAGAAAGTTCGCCATTGTAAGCCTCTATGTCGAACATGTGAAGTATGAAGTTCTAATTTGAAATACACAAAGACAGAAAACAGAATGTAATGAACAAGAGTTTTAGTAATGGGAATGAGAAGCATACTTGTGCTGTGGCCTGACGCATCTTTGTTAAGTCCTCATTCATTTCAAGAACCGTTTGCTCCAAAATTTTCTCCGGATCTTCAAAAGAACTTATGACCGCGTTTGCATATGACTGTAATTAGGACCATGAAAATGAAAGATAGTACCACTTTGCAGCCATGATTATTGATAAGAATGTTCTAATGCCATTATGTGGGGAAACATATGGATAAATTACAGAAGGAACCACCTTGACAACTCTAGCAAACCGATCAAAAAGATTCATACGGGCACCGAGAGCACCACCATGTTGTCTAGAAGAGTGCGGTTTATTGGAAGGAGCTGACCTTATCACCTCGACTTTTAACCCTCCCACTGCAACAAACATGAACAATGGTCAATTCCAGAAGAAACCAGTTTATTGCCTATCAAATTTAGTGAAAATTGAACTGGAGAAACAGCCATTACAATATTCTCAACTTTCCAACCAATCAAAACTGTCAAAAACTTGGTAGTCTTAGTTTTAGATTCATGTAATGATGTTGACATCCCTAAATTGGATAAGCAACTCAACCAAAATTATGATTAAGTACTAAATATTCATAAAACTAACTCCACCAGAGAAAGTTGGAAGCAGGGAGAGAGAGAGAGAGAGAGGGTGGGGATTAGCGAAAGTAGGAAAGAAAGAGAAGGAAATTGATTAATTGAGGGAATTCAAATCCTTCAAAAATCCCAATTACAATCTCTCCCAATAGATGAGGCAAACCATGTCAAACACAATAAAACAAGGATTATTTGAGCTCTCCATTTTCTTCCCCTCGGTTGTATGCCTTTCTTTCCTCCTTTTTTTTCTTTTCCCTCTTACCAAACAAAGCCTAAAGCAATACAATTCTCAGTAGACATCTCCAACAAGATTGTAACAACTCAAACGCACCATATAAACTTAAAAAAACGAACTTCAACACAAATGAAGAAACAAAATCAGATCTTTATCACGGATAATTACTAGGAAACGACAATTTGGTTCATTTTCAGAAGCCCTTTAACACAGTTTCAGCACAAATTGAAAGCCAAAAAGAAACTTACTGAGAAAGAAACGATAAAGAGTGAGAAAACCCTAACCCTAGAAAAGAAGAAGACGAAGAACGAACCTCCGCCGGCGAAGAAGGTCGAAGTGAGAGGCCTCTTGACCACAGAAGAGGCAGGTGTCGATGCCAAGCTTAATCCTGTAAACATTTGAGCTTTCGCCGCCATTTTCGTTTTTCTTTCAAGCAAAGTTCCGTTGAAATGCAGAACTGGAATTGAAAAATTCGGAGAGAGATAGATAGATAGGATTGAAGAGGAGATGAAAAAACGATCAAAAACTGTAAAGTGGTTTGTTAAAGCAGATTTTTGAGAATCCAAGCAGTATCCACAGACACTTGTGATTCCGGTCTTCTCTTCGGTTTCTGTCCCGTTATGGCCAATTCGGGCTTTTCTCTTCTGGGCCGCTTGGGCCTGGGCTGAGTTGTCATATGTGGGGTAATCTTTGACAAATATCCTGAAACTACGTGCGTCACGATTTTTTAGTCTTATTCTTAATTCATAACTTTTTAGTTAAATAATTATAATAATAAAAATATATTTATCAAGAGTAAATGGTAAATGTTCAAATTCTGAATGCATGAATTTATTCTACATTTTTTATGTGGGTCGGGGGATATTGTGATGTTTATGCATGTGTGTATTCGTAATGATATATTTCTATCCTTTATTAACCCTCTTATATAAATTTATAACTATCCCTCAATAAAATAAAAAAAATGATAAAACCGGAACATTATTATCTAATTTTCAACAATCACAAGTAGATAAATTGATAATAATATTAAATTTAAAATATATTCTAAACATAGAGTTTAAAAATAATTATTTTGTGTGATTATCTCCTCTCATTCTATGTCCGTGTTGTAGTCAAGTTCTGAGAACTTAAAACACTTCCTATATATATATAAGAGAGAGTAACTATTATATCATCTCATACAACAAATTCTTTCATGCACGTTTGGATTTTTAAAAACAAAACAAAACAAAAAAAAAAAGTATTTCAAGCACAGTAATGTCTTCAATATTTTCTAAAATCTTCTGGAATGTTAAGTTTGTTGCGGCTTGAGGTCTAGTTTGGAATACATATTCCTCTGTTAAAAAAAAGTACTATCTCATAAATATTATATATATTCTTTCCATCATATATATATATATATATATATATACATACATATATATTCCAAATGGAGGAGCTCATCCCTAGGGGATATAAATTTACTCCGACTGATGAGGAGCTGTTAGACTATCTCCGACGCAAGGTTGAAGGTACTTTAAGTGCAACAGAAAACATAATTTCCAAAGAGGACGTTTACGCACATGAACCCTGGAATCTCAACTGTATGTATTTACTTAATTATTTTTTCTTTCTTTCTCTTTCACAACTTTCTTGATCATTTTTTACTTAATTATTTCTTCTTTCTTTTTCTTTCACAACTTTCTTGGTCATTTTTTACTTAATTATTTCTTCTTTCTTTTTCTTTCACAACTTTCTTGATCATTTTTTTTATATGTATATTAATCTTGTGTCTGTTTATATACGCAAATATAGGGGTTCATGTTCATCATTTACACGATCATGAGAGATACTTTTTTGCGCAGACAGTTCAAGTATCGAAATCAGGTAATGGGAAAAGAGTGAAGCGGGACATGGAAGGAGACTCTGAGGGAGGGTGGTGGAAAGCCACGAGTGGAGATAAGAAGATTGTTGATAAACAAGACAGTCGTATCACATTGGGTTACTTTAAGACATTGAAGTTTTTTAAATATAAAGATCGTAACAGAATCCGTAATCAAGCTTACTGCACCGACTGGCTTATGCATGAGTACAAACTCACCAATCAAACTGTAAGTTCAATTTTTATAACTCTGACTCTCCCTCTATATATATATATATATACATATATATATATATATATCCATATAGGTGTGGTTTTAATGGTTATATATATGATGTGTATATGTTAATGTGTTAGTTTCTCTCATGAAAAATTATAATCATCGCTCCCTAACTATTTGCATGCATTGATTTTTGAAATTAAGATTGACCTAATATTATTTAGTTATTATTTTTTGTCTTTATCTTTAATAAGGGTAAAATAGTCTTTTTATTTATTTTACAAGTCTATATAAACCTTATTTTGTAATGTATTTCATTATGCAACACAATAATAATAATAATAACCCTAACCTCCGTTTTTTCTAAATTTGGTTATTGGATATCACACTAAAAATGTAGGGTGTGAGATTTGATTTGTGATTATGTTTTAATTATTGGACTTCCGGCCTTATACCCGATTGTACTAACTAAAACATATACACATATTATGATAATTTTAAATACATATAAATTAGGAAATTAAGAAACCGCCGTGATTAGTAATTTATACTTACAGACGACTTCAAAAATACGTGTTTGTTTGTGTATTGTTAGGATTAGTGATTGTGAACCTATGATTCTGATTCTGCTATAATTATAGTGGTTTTCTCTCCTAAAGAATTTGATTTAAAAAATTTCCCACTAATGATTCTCTCACAAAGTTCTCGTCAATAAATTAGAATCACTGACTTAAATGCGTGAACGATACGGGCGCATAATGATTGTAAACTATAATGCATGCATATATTGACGTCAACTTTTTTTTTTTTTTTTTGCTTGAATATATTGACGTCAACTTATTTGTTTGTTTTAATTTGCATGGACTGTAGTTCCAGGAATGGGTTATTTGCCGCATTAAAGACAACACCAAGGATAAAAAGATCAAGGCGGACTCTAATTTAACTGCGCATCTAGTGCAACAGCCAGTAGTACTACCAGCTGTGGCTATTCATAATGAGGAGATCATTTTGACCGGCACTACTACTGATCATGATCATGATCATGATCATCAGGACCAGCTCCAACCTCAACCTGTCCTTGAATCATATCATATTAATTCTCATGTGGATGCAATCAGCACCGTTGAGGGTGATCATGAACACGACAAGAGTAAGTTCGTAGATGATAATATGGAAGAACAGCATGATGAAATATTGAAGCAAATACTACTTGAGCTTGACGACGTTGATGACAGTAGTACCGAAAGTGATGACGATGATGATCTGGACCAGCTCCAACCTCAGTTTGCTCTCGAATCACGTCATATGAATTATCACGGCCGGGATGCAGTCAACACCGTTGGAGATCGCCATCACGATCACGATCACGAACATGACATGAGTTTGGGGGACAACAGCGTCGACCTTGAACAACGTGATCAAATATTTATGCTTCATAATCCTACCACTGTAAGTAATTAACATACTTGATTGATCAATAGATGTGAGATTAAAGATAATTGAGTTGCATTTTGTGTATTTATGTCTTGAAATTACTATGTGCAGGAGCAACAGTTAGATCAACTAGTTCAAGAACTCCAATTAGGACCACAGCCATTTCTTGAGCCTCATCTCGATTGGCTGGAAACTCCGATGGGCTCCATTGATCTGGAGTTCCAATTCCCACGTCTACCAGACGATTTCTCCGACATCGAAGCCTTTCTATGCAGACTGTAGATATTTCAATTGTCTATTAATTAGTCTGCAACTGTTATCATTTCAAGTTCAATTCTTTGGATTAATTCTAAGGAAATATTGCGGTGATTATAAATGTATTATAGTTGCCTTAACTCTAGAGGCATGGGGTTTGATTCTCTTATAATCTTCTTCACCATAATGAAACTCTTATAATCTTCTTCACCATAATGAAACTCTACAGCAAGTGAAAATGGACGTAACTCTAACGTTAAGAGTGACCAATATAAAAGTTTTGCACGTGCTTTCTTTGTATTGCTCTCATTAATTAAGGATTGGGGCGTTTAATATATAATCGCAATGTATTAGTAGGACAATAAATCAGTTTTGATGTTTTTCTTTTTATCATTATTTATGGGTTTTTTATTATACATGACATTGAGGTTTCCGGTGGTCTAAGATATTTGGATTCATTAGAGGATTTAAAGTGTAAAAAATGACCCAAAAGAGATAGCAAACTATTCTAACTCAATATCATATTGAGGGTGATACAAATAGGTAACCAACTATACAATAATCCTACAAAAACAATTAGAAAAATAATAACAGCATGCATTATATTGTCAAAATTGCTTTTCTATTTTCTTTCTTCTCACACTTCCCTTGGTTAATCAAAAATTCCCCATCTCACTCTTCTCATCTTTGTAACCTGCGGCCCTCCCACTTCTCCCAATGAGATACGGCTCTGGCAGTGAGTTTTCGTTATGAATCTCCAGACCTTGATAAGACCGAGTCATCAAATACTCTGCACCAGATTTAACTGTTCGCTTGACTAGAGAATTTGCATTATCACGCAATTGTAAAGCTTTCTCCGTCGCATTTGCTAAAGCAAGAGCTCCTTCCTCTTCTTCCTTGTCATTCTCTGTTTATGCAACAATTTCGAAGGAAACAATTCCTCAATGTAAAACTATAAGATGTTAATGCGCAAATTTCACACTAAAATACAATCTTTTGCAAAAGAATAAACATGGATTTGGGTTGTTTCGAATTGTATCTGTTTCTTCAAGAATTGTGGTACTACCTTGCGTATCAAAATCTTCCACGTAGCCGCCCTGCAAAAATGAAAAGCGTGCTTCCTTAGAGTGGCTCCTTGACTCTGCAAGAGATGAATTGATCAAATCCCTGAATTCCATTACATACGCTCCTGTCCAATGACTATCCCTGGAAGATGAAATATTGAGCTTCAATTAGTTACCAAAGGAAAGAGATGACTTAAATCGATTACCAATTCGTTTATTGATATAAACAAGGTTGGCTGGTGGCCATTTTATTCACAATAATATCAAGTTTTAGATTTCATCAAAACTAATGATTACTCGTAAAAAGAACATTTGAAAATAATAACAGTTTTAGGCTAGGTTAAACGTTTAACTAATAATTTAACTTGCACTCCATGTAGTACCTGTTGAAAGCTAGCGTGGCTTCAAAAGGAGTAATTACTGGAGATAAATACTCTTTGCTATCCAGGAGAGCAGTTTGAGCACAAGAGACATAAATGAAAATGTCACACTGCCAAGAATTTAATTCTGTTATCAGCATGCTATTCCTAAATCGCTAAGAAGGATGACATAATACATAGTGGCGTGTATCAAAATTACCTCTGGAAAGTTGGCAAGTTTTGCCGGGTTTGGTCTTCCCATAACAAGAGTATAAGCTTTTTTCCCCGCTGCCGTGATCAGTTCTTTCATCTGATTAATCATGTGATGGTAGCCAGCTGAATCCGTGGTTATGAAAATAATGAGACATAATCTTACAAATTGCAAAATCAGATTAAATCCTGATATATATATATATATATATATATATCTGTGTGTGTGTGTGTGTGTGAAAAGAGTAAATCAAAAATAATTCACTAACAATATGACAATTCATCCAGTTGCACATCACAAACTTAAAGTTTGAGGCATTAAATCTAGGAAACATGCAAACTGCTTTCCGCTGAGTATAAACTTTCAACCCGGCAAAAAGTGGTTATAAGAGACACTCTTTTGTATTAGTAGAGACAAAAGATTTAAGGACCGCAGAAAAACACACACCTACACCAAGAGTTCCCACCAAAATACCAACAATATTAGCATCCTTTGCCTTCTCCACCAGGTAATACCTGCATGAGACATCACACTTGCAGTAAATAAAAAAATGCACGACAAGAATAGAAAATAGATAAAACATAGTCAGTAATTAGTACACAACGCCACCAGCAGGTCAGAAAATCTTAGTACCTGCGCTTAAGAATTCTTTTCTGTTGAGAAAAATCTGTCACCATGCAATTTTCTGCAGCATCATATCTGACTACCAACGCGACAAAAATTAAATGGAAAAACAATCAACTTAGAGAAGAAAAAAGAAAATAAACTGCCTTGGATTAACACTACAAACACAAACCGTATAAATTTCATGCAAAACTTGGTAATGTATATACCTATTTCACAGGCATTAAATGTCAGCACAACATTCACAAAAGCTGAATTGTCGGAACCAATCCAAAAAAGCAAGTGGTCCTCCATTTTGCGCCCCTCGCGTAATTTCCAGACCAAACCCCCAATGCCTCTATTACCAGCTAATTTCCCAAAACTTTTATCGTCTATCAAGACACTAGCCCGCACCATCCCCTGATCGGATGTGTTTTGTTTATTGGACGGATTCATATCCGAACACAAAACTTCAGCAAATTGGATTTCTAACTGGGGTCTAGATTCACATGCTGCTACAACTTCTTCTCTAATGTTGTGAATCAAATGCGCATACTCCAACCCAAAAAGGACCTAAACTTGCAAAGGTAGGAGCTTTAAACGTTGAGATAATTCCCATTTGAAAAAATAATTCAGTGTACTCACTAATAACACAATTCTGCAATTCAGTTTATTCTCTACGTAAACAACATTATACGCAAAGACGATAATGTGCTGCTTTTGACCGTCACATAACATCATAATCATATTAGTATGAAAATTTTAACGAAGTTGAAAAATAGATTTTTCCTATGCAAAACAACAGAGTTCATAATCAAAGTTTTTTAACTCCATGACATACCAAAATCGGCTTCCCACTTGTCACGGCATCATCCACCAGATTTTTCGTGCAATCCGATACACTCATCGGAGCTTTTCCGAATACGAAAAAAGCTGGAAGCTTAGTAGTCCTGCAAAAAACACAGACGAAGGAAAAAGAAAAACAATTGTTGAAGTTACAAGATTTTAGAATCATCACATTTACCATATACAAAACCAAACAATATCCAAAAGAAATTGATGAGAACTAACGGGCTGAGGCACGCATGGCCGTAATGCACGACACAATCAGCGCCGACATGCGAAGCTCCGACCTCGTCGACGCAGCAGCTACCGTACGCCGTGTCCGCCATGACGAACAAAGAGGCATCCTTGACGTTTCCATCTCCTCCAAGCCGCCGAAGCTCGTTCCTTAAAGCACTCGCGACTCTCACCGAATCCTTCAAGAGCTCGTCCGGGAACTGAAATTGAAGAATTTTGAATGTTAATTTTCTTTCGCGAATTTGGAATTAAACCCTTACAAACCTTGTTTGGATGCCGAGAAAATCACCTGCAAAGCGACTTTGGTGAAGTTTCCACCGCGTATGAACTCGGCCGTGCGAGAAATTTCGTATCTTGATTCGAACTCCATGGCGGCTAAACTCTAGCTCTGTCCGCTACGAAACATGAGAGAGAGAGGGAGAGAGAGACGAGGCAGACGACCTAACATGGGCCCACTCAATATTTGTCAGCCCATTGGATTTTGACAGGGCTCTAAAGCCCAATTGATAGCTCAGGCCCATATAGGCTAATTGAAGCTCTCAAGTCCTTGTAGTGAAGGGCGGTAGTAACAGTAATACTACAACTTGTTTTTAGACGAATAAGCTTTTCTCTTCTGCAAACTTCACTTCTGACGGTGAATCCGACGGCGGAGAAGCAATCAGAACGGTGAGTTCTCCGACGAATACAAACTGATGATTAAAAAAAGATTAAGTTCAATTTTATATTCTTTATTACGAATCCTGTGTCGGAGTTTTTGCTATTAGATAAGGTTTTCAAGGAAATAGAACAAAAAACATTTATTCTCTTTCTTTTCTTTTTTATTTTTTTATTTTTATTTTTGGATTAATGGATTGGGATTGTGGGAGGTAGGTTAATGTGGACGTGCGAGGATGAACACGGCTCAGATTAGCGCGTGCCAGCCACGGACGGCCATTTGCGGCAGAAATGCATTTGGATTTCAGCTGCGGAAGTTAAAGCCTTCGAATTTAGGTTTCTATGGCCGGCAAGTGCCAAAGACTTGCTTGAAGCTAAGCTCGCATGGCCATGGCCGTCTTTTTTGCGCGCCCGTCTTGAAATCCCGTCGCTCTTCGCTTGTCTGCTTGTCTAAGACGGGAGGTGATAACGAGGAGGTGTGTTTGTGAAAATTCTTCTACTTTTTTTTTTTGGTTTAATTTATCGTTTTTTTGGAGTTTGATCAAAGTGTTTACTGTTAATTATAGTCTGGAAACCTAGTACAGTAGATTATAGTTGCAAACATGTAGATTTCTTTCTTACTTTTTTTATTTTTATTTTTTGAATTAGAAGCAAAAGATTCTGATTTTATGCTGGAAGTGTTTATTGTTGTGTGCTCGCAAAATCTTTTTTTTTTTTTAACGGCATTTTAGTTAATGGTTTTTAGATTTATTCTGGTACTTGTTTCTTTCTTTCTCATTTTTGGTGGTGATAACATTTTCTCAGCAATCAGCATCTATTCAAAAAAGCTCTCCTGCAGCCTTATAATTTAAATTTGGAATGGGAAGTTATTGTTGTTTTGTCTCCTCCTTATTTGGGGTGATAATATTTTCTTATTATCAGTGCAAAATGGCTTTTTCTGCAGTGAATCGTGTTAGGAGCTGTATAATCTAAGCCGAGTGGAAGGAAAATGATTTTGAAATGCTTATTTATTGTTGCTAATGTGTGCGTGGCGTGCATTTCTGTGTGGAAAAACTGCTAACTGATTTGACTGGTTTTGGTAATTTTAACAGGGTTCTCCATGGAAAGCTTTTGAGAAAGCAATGGGAAATTTGAAGGGACAGTCAATAGAGGATGTATTACGGCAGCAGATTGAAAAGGGTGAGTTCGCTACAGATAGAGATGGCGGTGGTGGGCCTCCAAGTGGAGGCAGTGGGGGCGGTGGCGGCGGTGCAGATGGCTCTGGTGGATCAGAGGACGAAGGCCTTTCAGGAGTCTTGGATGAAACTCTCCAAGTGGTTTTAGCAACTGTTGGCTTTATTCTTCTGGTAACATCTCTCTAGAACTAGATCACTTCATAAGTTTAGTTGACAATTCATTGTCAGTATACATAGAGGACTCCATACTTGTTAGGCATGTTCACATTTTCCGAAAACCTCCTTACCAAATTCAAGGTTTTTATGGTATGCTGTGGAGTATAAGATGGAGACTAGGAGTGAAAAGGACAAGTTGCGAAGATATAGTCTGAATTAACACAAAAAACACTCTTGACTAGTCTTGAAACACTCTTTTTTCCGCTTAAAGAAACTCCATAATTGGGATGAAGTAAGAAATTTTACTTCTGAAGTGTATCAATGAAATACCATCCTTGTTCCCAAGAGGCATCCTCTAATTTAATGAAAAGAGTTTGATCGCTCAAGTAAAAGAAATGCCACCTGTTTGATGCTTTAATTTCATCATTGTATTTGTATGTCAAAAATAGCAGCCTTCTCGGTGAGAAGGATGTCGCCTCATTTATGATTTATTTTATCAGCATGAGAGAGGATTTTTTGGGGATTAAGATTGTTCTTGTGGGCTTGTTGTTAGTATGATCCACCTGTATCCATTAAAACTTCCAATGCGGTGGTTTTATTGCAGTATATTTACATCATCAGCGGGGAGGAGCTGATCAAGCTAGCAAAGGACTACCTCAAGTACTTCTTCAAAGGAACAGAGAGTGTTCGTTTGAAGCGAGCCATGTACCAGTGGAGAAGGTTCTTCCAGAAGCTCACAGAGAAAAAGGAGTATGATCCGTATTGGTTGGAGAAGGAAATCATCAATACTCCAACCTGGTGGGACAGCCCTGAAAAGTACCGCCACATCCTTCGTCCTTCCACGCCATCAACATCAAAATCCCCACCAGATTCTTATGAAGAATCAAATTCGTTTGACTCTTACGAGGAGTCATATCGGGAAGATGATTTTTAAGTTGTGTCGGTTGATTTTCGAAGATAAGAAATCTAGTATCATAGATTTGCCATTGCTAGCGGTTGAGAATATCAAAGAGTAAATTTGTAGTGTTGTGAAACCTGATGAAACAAACCAGTAGCAGTTACAGCATGATGTTCAATATCATATCGCCTTCTAGTATAGAACAATTTTTTGAAGGGTGCATAAGTTACCTTGTTCGTACAACTCTTAAATTTTCATTTCAATCCATCAGATTCTTGTATTGTGATTTGCCGTTTAGAAACACTACAGTATTAGAGACCATTTAGCATAAATTAATGACTCGACGTGGTTGGATGTATATAAGAATTAAGTGCACCACCATGTGAGCTCAATCCAAGATGAGTACAGTCAAAAGGTATACAAAATTTTGTATATGAAAAATTGTAGTAGGAATAATGTTCTCATTTTATTTCTTGAAGCTGTAAGATCGCATCGAAGTTGAATGTTTCGCCTGCCTCGAAAGTGGACTCGAGATCTTCGAAGCTCTGCTCAACTCTCAAGTCCTTGCTCACTTTTAAACCTTCCTGCCAACAGATTAAAAAAAGAAAATAAAAACTCCTTAACAAGCTGTTATTGCTTTGAAATCCTGGTAGTTTGTGCACTAAAGCTGTTATTACTCTATCAAAATTTATCAATTTATATCAAATAATAATAGCCAAACGCAATCATATATACAAGTAGGTAAAAAGCACCTTATCCACATATTCAGCAATAGTAGAGTTGATTATTTTCTTGATCACTTGCTTGATAACCTTAGAAGGTCCAAGAACTTCCAACAAAATGTCTTTGGGTATCTGCAAGAAACGACTCAAATATGAATAAAAACTGCAATTGCATTCTTGATTACAAACACTATAGAAACCACGTCTTGATTGGACAATGTTACCCAAGTTATCTCTCAAATTTTTATACTAAATGATGTGACAAATGAGTTGCTAATTTCGAATCGGTAAAAGTATAATTGGGGATAAACAAACTCATCAATCGAGAAATAACAATTCATTCTGTACAAAAAAACGTTTGACAAATAACTTGGGGTCTGTATGATATCCATCTTCCTTACATCCCTATTAACAACCACGAGAAACAACAAATTGATTGCACTCATAAACAAAGAATTACTAAAGCAAAATAGTAAAGAGAGAGAGAACTTACATTTGGTGTTTTCCCTGTTAGGATTATACAAGGAAAGAAAATATCAGATTAGTGATTCTAGTACATTTTTCTAGTACATCTTGAATAATAATAAGCCAAAATTAAGTCTCTTTATCAGAATTACCAAAAGCTCACCTCCTTTAACTCTCCTGAATCCTGGGATTGGCTGTGCGTCAGCCACCATCTTGTCAAACACTTTATCATAAAGTTCCCGAGTTATGGTACCAGACACTTCTACACTTATCTGCTTACATGGTTTTTAAATAATCAATAATGTCAGTAGTTATAAAAAAAATAAAAATAAATAAAAAAGAGAGAGAGAAAGAAGAAGAACACAAACACAGAAAACCTTTAGTTCATCAGGCCCGGTAACACCAGAAGAAGTAGAAACTAAGAAGCCTTCAAACTGAGAAGAAGAAACCTCAACATCCTTGGCACCTAAATTAAAGCGGAATTGTATCCAAAATTTTGCTTAATACTTAATACCCACTAGGAAAAAAGTAATAATAATGATAATAAGAAACAGAACAACTTGGGACTAGGAAAAAATAAATAAAATTTTTTTAATTATCTGCAACCTGATAATACAGCAGAAATGGTGGGAAAACACTTGTGACTTCTCCTGTACAATTAAACGAATAAAAAAAATTAATTGATTGATTACAAGAAAAGAAAGGAAACCCATAAATGTTGCTCTTTTTTTTTTTTTTCCTTCTTCAATTTGTAAAAGAATTCAGAAAGGTTTTATATTGCCTGGTGTATAATTGTCCAGAAAACTGTCCATGTCTGCTTTGAAGAGTTGAAGCACATACTCGTCGGCGAAATACCTCTTTATGATAACTGTGAGTTATTATCTGCAAAAATATCAAAACTTTTGTGATTCTGAACAAAGTCCCGATTCCAAAGTGTTGAAGAATAGAACTGAACAAGTTCATTTGAAGGAAAAACAAACCAAAAAAAAAAAAAGAGTAAATGATTTATGTATTTTTACCTGAGGATTAGAACCCAAGAAGTGGGTCTTAATGGCCATTTCCATTATCTTTTTCTTCTTCTTTTATGAGCAGAGCAAGCTTTGCCTGATTCTTTTGTCTCTGCAACTGCAAGGAACGGGGGAGAGGGGAGCGATGATTCTTTTTCCCTTCTAGTGGTAAAACGACGTATATGATTCTTATCTTATTGGGTGAAATAGATGAAAAACGACAACTAATTGCGGAAACGGTTGGCGTTTCATGTCACACAACGACATGTCTTTTGATGCAAAAGCTAATTCAGCTACGTTTTTTTTTTTTTTTTGATATTTAGACCTAGTTTATTTCACCGATTCGAGTTTTCAATTTTAAATTTTTACAGTAAAAAGTTTTAAATGTCACATTTAACTTTTTTTACTACAGTGAAAAACTTTTAAAAAATATCACATTTTAAATTGAATTAAAAACTTAAATTCGTAAAGTGAACGAGATCTTAGGTACATTGTTCATGTCAAATGATGGGATGGGATAAAAATCATACACGTCGGGTTTTTTTTTTTTGAAAGAAAATCGTATGCGTCGTTTTTTTTTTTTTTTCCTTTTTTTGACAATCATATACGTCGCTTTATATAACAATGGTGAAAAATGACAAGACCTTGCCGTCAAAAAAAAAAAAAAGAAGAAGACGAGATCTTCTGAAACAGAAAAACTTCTATAAAAAAAATGTCCCTTAAAAAAACTTGAAAAAAAAATAAATTGAAACGGAACAACTTCTCAAAAACAATCAGAGCAGGATAAACGACAATTACGAGTAAAAAGGACGATGTTGAATTGTTGATGAAGACAATAAATAAGGGGAAAAAATGACTCTCCAATTCGGCTAGTTTCTCAGTATTGAATATGATCAAAATCACATAAATTGACAGTTTTTAATAAAGTTTTAACGGTTAAAATTAAATTAAGATCTCATGTTTAAATTTAGTGTTTAATTAATCATATTATGTCATGTCGTATTAAAAGTTTGAATTATTTTTTTTGTGTGCTTATGTCATTCGATTAATTAGACACTAATTGAAACACTAAAAAATTAGATAAAAAATTTAGATCCATTGAAAGTATAAAATTATCGGTGATTTATTTTTTTTTATTTTACTGGATAAACTCTTGAAGAAAATAATGATATATTTGCCTCCTATAAACTATTATTTCTTGTTCCTAAAAAATAAAACATATTTATCACCCTTAAAAAAAACAGAAAGGTATTTCTTTTATATACTTGAATATGAAATTATAAATTCATAAAATTAGAAAACTTCCCAAAATCAAAATAAGGAACAAGAAAAATTGATTTGAATTTGTTTTCTTTATTTATCTTCGCCATGGTCTACTCTTATTCCTCTTTGAATACATTAAATCTCAAGTATTATAAAAAAAATTAAAAATAGAACCAATACAAATATAAAGATGTTTCAGAATTGGCACATCTTTTAAGTAAAACTTTTTACCTCATTATTACACAGAGTTTACAGCAACACACACCACTTCATCCAGAAATTCTTAAGTTCCATTAATTTTGTTCATTCAAGTTAAAAACTTGAATTAAAAAATAAATTTTATTTTAAAAAAATATTATAATAAAAAAAATTAAATTTAAATTTTTATAAAAAAAAATACTGTATTAAGAATTTTAAATTATAATTCGAATGATAAAAGGAATAAAGCCTTAATAATTATCTATATATCTGATTGACCAAAGATTTGGCAAAACAAAAACAAACATATTAAACTTCATCTTCAGGACCTTTGGGTGTCATTTAACAGGACTAATACCCAATAAAATTAAGCTGTCCTGTTGCTATCAGAAAACTTCAAACAATAATGATCCAACTCTGAAAATTCACCAAAATTTTGATGTCTTTTTTTCAGAGTTTTAAACCCCGTTTATTTTACTGATTTGAGTTTTGTTACAGTAAAAAACTCTCAGAAATAATCACATCTAATTTTTTTATTACATTAAAAAACTCTTATATAAAGACACATCTTAACTCGAATCAGCGAATTAAACGGCCGTTCGTTGTAAAAAAAAATTGGGATTTGCCAATGCGAGAAACTGGAATTTCAGTTCTTTTAGAGCATATCAAATATCTAAACTGGAGCGGCAGTTTCAGGGCCGAAAGGTGGAATAGCCATAGTGAAGGAGGGTTGTGCATTGGAAGGGATGTGTGTATTTATGTTTGTCGGACATTCACTGTGCGTCCATCATGGGCTACTTCGACAAGGTAGGGAGACTTTACGATGATGCAAGTGTTTGTACTCCTTCGGGTAATAATCGACGACACATTCTTTTGAGGCGGTTTCTTGTGTTGCTTGCACAGTTGAAATCATACGTGGTTCATATATGTAGTTTAAAAATATGTTGTTTAGAATGTTGTTCATGAATAGAGTATTATGTGCATCGCGATTGGATTTCTCTTGAATATGGTCGTTGGATTGAGCCCTATAATTGATGACGAATACAAATGTAATAAACCAGTAGCACTGTAAGAGTCTGTTTAGTTCGCTGATTTAAATTTTTAATTCGAGTTGAGATGTGACTTTATATGAGAGTTTTTTACTGTTGTAAAAAAGTTAAATGTGACTGTTTCTGAAAGCTTTTTACTATAACAAAACTCGAATTCTAAATTCGAATCAGTCAAAATAAACAGAACACAAAACAACGTACTAACCCTTAGAGGTGCAAATAAAAACTCATATTGACAACAAATAGGAGCCTATAAGTATTTATGTATAATACTTCACTCAATGCGCGAATGAGAGTCAATTAATGAACTATGTATTTTAAACTCAAATCACCTTCAATCTAATCTCAGCAACGCCATTTACTTCGTACGTATTTTCTCATCCTCCTCACAATTCTCAGTTTCGAGTGAGAATCTTGCAGAAACTCGTCCGATTTCTCTCCATTTCCTAAGAAGCTTGGAGTCCACTTTTATCACCTACGATTCCAAGAAAGGTGAGTCCGAGTTCGTGCCGGTGATGTGGAATCTGACTTCAACATCTTCTGGAGAACTCCACAATTCCACGTTAATCTGCAAGGAAATCCAGTCAGACAGCCTTACCACAGAATTTCTATAAGAGGTGAAGCTTGGTGCGATTTTGTATTCGATAATCATCTTCAACCAGGTGATGAGCTCCGATTCACTGTTACTAATGAGCCGAATGAGGAAGCCATTTTTGTGTTTACCGTCAACTGCTTCCGCGACTAGGAGCAATTGTTCTAGCCTGAAGATTTGGAGGAGTCGCTGAACTTCTAAGTGCGATCATTCTCGGTTGTAGATAATTGGTGAACTTGTAAGATTCTCCTATTTTCTGTAGTTCTCTTTCGTAATATGTCAATCTTTTCCATTCGGATTGTATTCGCTTATTTTTAAGGATTCGTGATAGACTCAATATTTCATTTCGGTACAAAAATAAAAATAAAACAAAAACGACGATGTTTATGAAAACAATACAAATATACAATCCCATGACACAATAGCTTATGAATAACAGAGCTTCGCGCTTTTTATTTTTATTTTTATATATAACTTGAAGAACGAATTATTAAAACCACAATGTTTAGTTAAAACGACAAGATCCTTAGATCCGCAAAATTAGTTTTAAAAGAGAGAAATATTAAGAGAAAGCGTCCAAAAAGAAAAACACAAGATCCTTGAGCGAAAAACAACTCAAAACCTTTAAAAAAAATAAAATAAATAAAATAAACTCAAAACCTTTCAGTTCGCCCTAAACCTAATATTTAAAAGATGTTTTTTAGTATGCTAACATACCGATAGATTGGGTTTTATATTCATCAAATCTGCATAAAATCTTAAAAATATGTAAATTTTACAGTTAGAAAAACGTGACCTACTGATATGCTAGACGTTTTAGAAAATCTCTCAATATTTAATTGATTTTTGCTAAAATATTCGTTTTCAAATTGATATTTCTTATCTTTTAAAAAATAAAAGAAATTGATATCTCTTGTCTCCTATAAAAATGGCATTTCTTGTTCCCAGAAAATATACGAGTATTTATATTTGGAAGATATTTATTCACCCTTTTAAGAAAAAAAAAAAAGGGGAAAAAGGAGGAAAGAAAGAAAGTTATTTCTTGAATATATTTGGGATGGGTTTATTCCCGGCCATCAATACCCGAGTTTTGCCCCGACCCACGTGGCGAATTGCCATAGCGAGACTCCCAACTTCAACCACAAAGTGATAGAACAGAAAAAGAAATGGAAATTGCAATGGCGTCCAAGATAGCAACGAGACCAACAAATTCGCAATTTCACCAACTTGGAATTCCCAAGGTAGCCATTTTTATGTGGAGTTGTAGTTTTAGTACGTCACATTAAGCTTAAGAACATCTTTTCATGTCCCCAACTGTTTAGCAGTTTTCTGTTGGAAGCTCAATCGGATTTGTTACAATTATTCCAGCCACAAACACATTCAACTTCCAAACTGCAAAATGTTTCCTATTTACCAGGTTAAACGTTTAATTCTATTATCCATTCACATAATTTTTGATGGGTTATTTTTATTTATATTATATATTGTTTATGTAATCGTTATAGTTCTCAAAGAAGAGATGTCGGACTGAGAAACTTTATCTGTGAAGCTGGTCCAGGTAAATAAAGCTTCTTCTTCCTTCACATTAATATTATTAATCTAGGTTCTACTATTATATTTCTAGTTTTGAGGTTTTTTTTTTTTTTTTTTCTTTTGAATGCTGTGTAGGTTTGGAGACATCAGTTGCAGATTCAGGAGATGCAATAAGCGTGAAGAAGGCAGAGATTGTTGTGGAGACTCAAGATAATGACAAGATGCAAGTGAGCTTCAATGATTTAAGCACATATAATAATCAATATGATTAATTTGGAAGAAGACATGTAACATGTTCCTAATGTTTAGTAATTGACAGTAGATGTGTTTGGATACAAAGATGTTTAGTAATTACCATTTTTAATCTATCTATAATGGGAGAGAATTTTTGGTGGGGGACTTAAAGTTGAAACTAACTTGTTATAGCAATTTAATTGTGTCCTAGTTTTCAAAACAAGACGATATTTATAAATGAGTAAACCAGTGATGATTCTTTTCCTTCTTATACGCCAAATAAATCAAAAAATGGAAATCATTTCTATCATTCTTATTTTATATCTTTGTACTTTTTTCTTACATCTTTGTTTCTCTCCTTCCTACTAAACAAAGTGTAAATCTAGCAGTAATTTTGTGTCGTGTGATTCGCAGGTAAGAGTGGACTTAACCGGGAACGAGACACAGAGAGTGTTTGACCTGGTTTTAACAAATTTGGCTAAAACAGCACCTCCGATCCCAGGATTTCGCAGACAAAAAGGAGGTAATAATATGTGGAGATTTGTTGATCAAAATCAAAACCTTTTACTAGTTTACTTCATAAAAGTTTGTAACTTTAGCATCTTATTGAGTTTTTCTGGTATGCTTTTTCATGTTGATCTACTCCAGGGAAAACAACTCAGGTGTGTGGTCTTCCAATTTGTATATTTGTTGAGATTTTGCTTGCTTTTTTCAGTCTCTTGTAACTCTGGTCAAATGATTTGGTATTGTTTTTAGGTTCCAAAAACCTTCTTGTTAGGGATACTGGGTGAAGAACGAGTGACCAAGTTTGTCATAGAAGAGATAGTGACCTCAACCATGGCTCAATATGTAAAGAAGGCAAGTCAACATTTCGACATTGCTTGTTCCTTTCTCATGACATGACGTGACATGCAAGTAATTCTAATTTCTTTGCATTTTGTGTTCAATACCAGGAAGATCTGAAAGTAAAAGACAACAAAATCAACACTACTCAATCAGCAGAAGAACTCAAATCGTCGTTTAAACCTGGAAGTGACTTTGGATTCAATGCCATCATTGAGCTTCAAAATTCAGAAGTTGAGACGCCCAGCTAGCTAAATTACTAACTTTGAATTACACCTTATGCTGATTTCCTCTCTTGAAGCCATGTAAAAACATGTGTACGTTTCCTACAAATTCTATAGGCGTCTGATTTTTATTCTTGAAAGAGTTTTCTACTATTAAGTTTCAAAATGCCAAAATGAAACTGACAACTTGAGTTCATTAAGAATTCCTATTGTCAAATCTCAAAGATTTGCCAATATGTACGTGTGTTTACACTATCATTATGACTGAGAATGCACGGGAGCAATTAAAAGATTAATCTCTTTCTTCCCTTTGAATTAGAAGATAGTATATATACATTTCACATCATTGATGGTCATAAAATGACAAATCTCAGAAGAGATCAAAACACAAAAACAAAAATTGCTCGCCGCCATTACTACATATGTAAGCTCATTCAAGTGATCCGGAACACCCTGAGTTACTGTACACGGAACACCCCTGTTGCTAACATGCTTGCCACCTACAGCTTAACCAATCAGCTTCTTTGAAGCTTCTTCCACAAGTAAAATGCTCTCCTGATCACGGGATCAACGGAAAATCCTTCTGCATAGGCCCCCATCGCAGTTAAGAGGCTACTGAACTTCTCACCATTGTCCTGCATCCATCACATTGGAAATGAAATCGCGGCGTTTCAAACAAATAATACGTTCTTCATAATAGCCAAGGTTGGACAAACCTCTGGTTGCTTGAATACGAGATCTTTGGTGGCGAAAGGTACCATGTAGGATGGCAGATCACACCGCAAAAGCACCTGTGATAAGTAATGCAACCATAACAATATTATTTCGAGGAAAGGAAACTAAAACGTTAAAAAAACATAACAGAACATAGAAAGGAAAGGAACTTAAAAGAGCAAGGCATAGCTAGCTATATTGACAAAATTACCAAGTTCTTGCTTAAGAGAGCTTGATCAGCACTTGTTTTCAAGGCCTACAAAAGGAAAAATGCAGCCAATAATAAGTGAGCTTATAAGTGATTTACAATCTTTCAGGGGAAAAAAAGTGATTTTACAGTCTTTATAATCCGTTAAACTCATACTACTTTGTCTGCCTGCAATACTACAATATAGTTGTTGTGACTGATGCTACTACCGTTTTTATACGTTCCTCCTTGATCTCATCAACTTGTTGCAGTAAGTTCTCCAACGAGCCTGCCACGATAAAAGATGAATGCTTCATAAGGTAATGATTAGACAAAATTCAGCAGGCTCGATACAAGATGACTATGGGCATACCAAATACGGTTAACAGCTGCACCGCATTAACTTCTCCGATTCCTTCAACTCCTGCATCAAAATATTTTAAGTGGTCGATCGGTGTTTCACAACTCTCTCTCCCTCTATCTCTCTCTGTTTTGTCTTTGTTGTACTATTTTCTGTTTTATTTATTTATTTATTTTTAGGGTGATGGGAAACAGGAAAAACAATTGGGCGTGGGTGTAAAACATGGTAATGAAGAAACTATCACATTTCAATCCCAGTGATGTTATGGGCATTTCTATGTCATTCCCATATATCCCAAGCACAAACTTTTGAAATACATATTCTCTCAGAAAAATTTACAAAGCTAGAGGCTTTTTATTTTAATGATGTTCACAAATGTAAGCACTTAATCACCTGGTATATTGTCAGATCTGTCGCCAACAAGTGCCAGAACATCAACAAACTGAGAAGGTTGTAAGGATCCATATCTCTTAGCAAAATCCTCCATTCCGAATGAGACCATTCTGTGAAGGGTGAAAAACACTTGGTATCAAATTCAAAAGCCCTTGGATAGAAAAATGACACGTACAAAATAAGATATAAATCAAAACTTTTCCAAGTACACGAGAATGCTTTGCATAAAAAAGAAAGGGGTGGATGGCAAACTGCGATACTTACTCACCACCACGTGGAGCAATGCGTAGAAGGCGTAATGACGGAGACAAGATCTGGAAAAAGTCTTTGTCGGGTGAGACAACTCGTACCTGTAAAAAAGTCAATGCAATCAAGAGCAGCTAAGCACATGGAAAAGGTAAGCCCCAAGGATACAATTTATTTTATATAAAACATCAGTAACCTAAAGAATAATCAGTTATTCCAATTTCCAATTCCATCAAAGATAAACTTACGCATTGAACCCATTTTACGTTCAAACTATTGAATGTTCATTCGAATAAGCAATGATCTTGACAAGTGTTGATTTTGGCATTCCGCTTTCTTTCAAAAATAAAGCTTTAGAATATACCTTGTACCCAGCATCTACACTTTTAACAGCCAAAGTTCCAATCACATCATCAGCTTCCACACCAGGAACCTGCATTGAGGAGACAAGTGATTAATTGACTACAGGTGATAGCCATCTAAACCTGTGATACACAGCCATTACCTCAATAACCTTAATCGACATAGCCTTGATGGATGCTTTTAAGTATTGAAGTCCCTGAACTACAGTATCAGGAGTTGGTGGTCTATTGCTTTTGTACGAAGGATAGAGAGTATGACGAAAATTCCTGCCTAAACATAAACAAAGTTCAAGTAAGAGACTGCAATTTTTGAAACAACTAGCAGACCAGTTCTTAAGCAGAATATAGCTCAATAGTAAAATTTAAAATTAGTGAAAATCTATTTATATGTAAGGATCAATAACCAAACATTTATGTAAGAAAGAGTTATCTGCGACATTTCAAGCGACAAATGCATGCAATAAAACTGAAATGACAAGTTAAAAAGGGTTTGCCACTCCTTATCTGAATGGAGAAAGAAGAAGCTTTTCTAAATTTGTTGACTTGGATGGATCATGAATGAAGTTCATCTAAAAAAAAATTAGAACACACTTAAAGAGGACAAAGGACAAAGATTCAAAGCGCCTTTCTTTTGTGGTCAACCAAAGGCCCGTTTTAAGTCTTCCAAGAAGCTTCGGAACTGTCTTCCAAAGATATGGCATCGTATCTTTCCAGCACTATGGCACTATAGACTCACAAAATGAGTAAGAAACTATAAAGAAAGAATCGTCCAATATTGCAAAATTGAAGACCCTAAAATAACAAGATGAAAGGATTTTCGCAGGGAGCTTAATATCCATCCAAACTAAGCATTGTTCCATTCCTCATAAGCAGAGAAAGCCAGCTATATGAAAAAGAACCGATAATGAAATGATAAATTCCCACCCTAAACGCTTAAACTAGATGTCCTTGCACATAAATAACTCTGACGAGTTCACACATAAGTAACCCCTACTCCACCTTAATAACAATCTGTTTTTTTGCTACTTTTTATTACTACCTACAAACTATTGTGTTTTTAGATTTAGATAAATTGACTGCTTTCTCAACTTTAATATGCAAAAAGAAAAGCAGTAAATTACAAGTGAAAAACATACCTTTTGCCATAAAACTTTCTTTGGATGAATTATAAGTTTGACCAAATGGAAATCCTGAAAAAAGAAGGGTTGTCTTAACAAAAATTGACTTGGAAACAGCAGGCCCACATACCAAATTTCCCGGCAACTCATAAAATAATTGGGCAGTAGGAAAAGGAGGGTAAGATCAGATAACAGTTCCAACACTTCTACAACATGATGCTTGGTAAAGCCTCATATGCTATCAGGGAAGAACAGGAAGAGTTCAATCAAAGTGAAAGAACAAGTTGACGGGAGAGAGTGAATGTGCCTATGTATTGGACAGAGAGAAAGAGAGATAAATCTGCACAAATCTGACCCTTATGATTCTTAAGAGGTGGTATCCAAGACACATACATGTCTTTCAATTTCACCAAGAAAAGTATGGACCTTTCATATTAACCCATAAACTTGAGAAAAAACTAGCAACGTCCCAAGAAACTAAACAATCCAAGGATTATGAGAGAACAATAAAATTTCTTTCTTGGAGAACGCCAGGTATTCTATGCATCTAGACAGTTGGGAATCTATTCTTAGGCAATCTACCTGAGGAGGCTATAGTAAATCACAAGATGAAATCGTATCGTCAATTCCAAGACAAGAATTAGAAGGAAAAACATACAGATGCAAAAGAACTGAAAACAACAAACAAGTAGATCGAACATTTAAGGTAATCAAGTAGAAAATGGAAGATGTCACCAAAATTCATATCTCACCATCATGGTCAAACACAACCTGCATGAAAGGGCAACAAAGAAGAAAAGGTACATGAGCAACCTTCTGAGTCTCTGACTAAAAAAGCATAAAGATATTCGAAGACCGGGAGAAATGAGAAGATTAAGCCAAATCCATCCAACAAAGAAAGAGAACAAGAACATAGAACACGAATAAGAAAGAGTTATGCAGTGAGCTAATAAAGTTTTGGTTGAAGTTTTAAATGTAATGAAAAGACATACCGCCACATGGGAAGGAACAAATTCCAGAACATCAATTATCTGCAAATATTAATATAAAAAGAATTAATAATTATTTGAATCTAATTTACCATATTAGCATGAAATATGTCAGTAACAACTCATATGATCGTCTTGACATAAAATATGTCAGTAACGACCTCATCTGATTTTCTGCTAAACCAGTCATCTAAGAAGAAACACAGCTCTTACAGGCATATACATTCGACTATAAAGAAGAAAAATCATTTCAGCTCAATACTTGTTAGGCTTGCACCAGAAAGAAAAAAACCATTTGTAACATACAAATAAAAATATTACTTACAAGAGATAACGCCGTAAATACAGTCAGCACCCAGTCTCCATTTCCATCAGCATGTGATAGGTACCCATGGTGCAACTTTGCTACTCTCAACAAAAGAAGTGAATCAAAAATTAAAGAGCTGTATAATCAGGAAATATAAAAGGACAAAGTAAATTTATTTTAAATAAGTTCATGAGAAAATACAGGATGCAATAAGATAACTGCTGGGCACATGTGGATCTAAGCTTAATAAAATTGTGCAAATTTCATTCACACATTTTTACCACTTATAAGTATACTTGAATGTCCTTGTTGTCCTATTTAGTAGAATAAGATAAGATAAAATAGAATGAAATGTTACCTAAAAGCTTGTAGTAGGCTCTATAAATGATAGAGGTGCCATCAATGAGCATTAATCTACCATCAGAAGGGTTATCATTCACTGCTCTTTCTTCAGAAGAAAGTAGTGCATCATGGTGCAAAAATGTAGCTTTAGCATAACTTGTTGCATTTCTCTCCCCATAAACAACTCCTGGTAAAACTGAATTCAAACCGTTTGATTCAACATAATAGCCCTGAAACTGTACAATAAACTTTAAATCAAACAACCAAACTATAAAGCATATTCCACTTTAAAAAAAAAAAAAAGGGAACTTTGCCCACAAACGAATTACACTCTTTGAACAAGCAAATTATGAATGTTGGGTACCTATTAAAAACAAAGGAACTTGCCCAGAAACAAATTCAGTGTTACCAAGCAAATAATGGATGTTGGGTACAATTCTTGACTGAACATTAAAAATCTGAAAATGATACCCATTTGAAGTTTGAACCCAGTAAAACATAAATAATAAGAAAACAAATGATGGGCACAGTGATTAGCAGTATTACCTTTCTGGAAAGGGAAAGCGCAGGGTGAAGAAGGAGAGGGGGTTTGTTGAGAAAGGAGTAAAAGATCCTTGGAGAGGTTGAGAAGCTTCTAGAACTGGAAAATAGTCTCCGAATGGAATGGAAACAAAGCTGTAAACAAGAAGAAGAAGAAGAAGAAGAAGAAGAAGACTGGCACAACGCCATGAAAATTGAATACGGATAATCCACACCACTACACCACCACTTCTTCCTTCACAGTTTACGCTCCTATTCGCTGTACATACTGGGATTTTACGCACTAAACGGCGTCGTAATCTCTGAAATACTACTCAGTAAGTCCCTTCTCCTCTTCCTCTGTCTTTGGGGGACCAGAGGCCAACGCCTTTCTCCAGTTGAGAGTATTCAGACGTCGGAGGCCATTTCGGCAAATATAATAAAGTGTGTGTATATATATAAATTGTCTTCGGTACTGAATTAGAACGTGTATATTTTTTTTTAAAATATATATTTTTAAAATATATATAATATGTAAAGACAATTATAATTTATTTAAACACTTAATTGATTGTTTTTTGGACAAATATAATAAAGCATATATATTGTTTTTAATCTAGTACTAAATTGAAGCGGTATATATATATGTATTTTTAAAAAAAATATGTATATATTTTCTTAAAATATATATGACGTAGGTAGATACTTATAATTTATTTAAACACTTATATACATATTTTTAGAGAATATATATATATTTTTAGAGAAAATATATATATTAAAGGCTTTACTTATATATATATTTAATATTTTAACAAAATGATGGTTTTTTAAGATTAACCAATTTATTATTATTATTTATTAATAATTATTAGTAATATATATGTAATTTGTTGATTAAAATTAATTAATTAATAATTATTTTTGATTAATTATTAATTGATATTAATTAATAATAAAAATAATTAATCAATGATGACTTAAATTAAACAGTAATTGACTACTAATTAATTAGTGATAAACTAATTAATTAATCATAAACTGATTAACTATTAAATTTTCATTTATTTTATATATTTAAATTTAAATTATTAATTTTATTATTTTATAAAAAATTTAAATTTCAAACGCATCAAATTGAGTATAGATATGTAAGAGGAAAGTGGTTTGGCCTTGATTTTCGTATAGATTTTCGAAATTTTGATTGTGGAGATAATATGACCTAAATGTCCTTGGGCCAGCGGAGACCTAAGAGCCATATTGGGCTTCAAAAGGCTGCAAGCTTTAGCTGGACCAGAAGCCTGCACAACCTGCAACGTTCAGCCCAATTGGTAGACTAAACCCCAGCTTCATCTTCCACGGTGGTACCGTTCTAAGTTAGGGTTTAACATTTACAGAATCCCAAAACTACAATTTCAGAGACATTAATAATTAGTCTGCGACCTTCGACATCAAAGATTACTGCTTTGTGAATTGTTGATTTGCAGAGAAAATAAAAGAAGAAGACTTGATTTCGTTTGGCTTTTTAACTCGAAAGGTCGCATATACTTATGAGAATGGGCAAGAGAGGGAAGAACCAGACAAGAGGGGATAAAAACCCTAAGAGGAAGCTCCGAGGCAAAGGCGACGTCGTCGAAGAAGTTATGGACGACGAAATTGATGCCTGTATGTTGTTTCGTTTTCTGGGATTTCTTTGGTATTTCTCGGTGATTGATACAATTGACAAGTACTCGAATTTATCTCTACTTTGATGAGATTTTTGATTTTGTTTTTTTGGGTTTGAAGTTCACAAGCAGAGGGATTTGGTCCCGCTGGATGTGAATGGAGGCACCGACGAGTCGGATGAAGATGACGAAGTACCAGTCTTTGATTTTGAGGTTTTTCCCCTTTTCCCTTTCTTAAAGCTTTTTAAGAATTGATTCAGAGTTATAAAATGTAATTAGTTTAATTTCTATCGAGGATTATTGGCAAAATACTTTTTTTTTTTTTTGTGGGCTGGAGATTTGGTTTCGGTTCATTTTGGAATATAGAGTGGTTCTAATTACAGAATTATGTTGGTGGGAACATTTCTTTTAAATTTTTTTTTTGTTATTTTGTTATCCTTAGTATGTCTATGCATTGCAGCTTTTTTATTATTGACATGATGTGCAGGATGGTGATGACGGCGAGGGCGAAAGCGACGAAGATGAAGATGACATCCCTGATACTGGTGACGCTAAGAAAAGTGAGAAAGTTGTTTTGTTTTCATATATTTTGTTGAGTTTTCTTTGAAATGCATTATGAAAATATTGGTCAAACAATTCTATCTGTGCTGAAGAGTGCTATGAATCGACTAAGAAGAATGGAATTACAATAAAAGTTGAGATAATTACAATCTGTTGTCAGTTGATAGTGTTGGGCGATATAAAGAGTTGAATTCAGTGAAATAATTAGAAACACTATGTGGACAATGTGCATATGTTATTCGCAGTTCAAGAGATATGATACGTATTACTCAGTCAAATTGTTTCCGCTGCGCATTACATACTAACAAAACATTTGTTTACAATTAACATTCTTTATGGTTCTTATTAATTGAGACGAGATACATCTGTTGGAAAGCATGGTTTTCATTGATTAATTCATTTACGTGTAGTTGTTAGGCAGATCAAATACATGAGGGAAAAGTTTGGTGGTGTTGAGGATGCAACGGTTGATGACGATGAAGAGGAGGAAGAAGAACATAGGACTGTCTGGGGCGGAAGAAAGGACCTGTATTATCGTGCTGATAATATTGATATCGAGGTGAGCATTTGTATCCAAGAGCTACTCAGCCAATTACTTTTAGAATATTCTATTTAGCTTCGCCCCAAGTTCAATCATTCCATTAAGTTGCTGGAGAACATTTGTTGTTATTATTCTTTTTCCCATAAACATAATCAGTATACCTTGGTGATGCCTTTTAATTCTTCCCCATTTTTTCATTCCTTTATTAGCAACAATCAAGCGATGATGTCTCCCCAGCAGAAGAGGAGGAGGAGGCGATAAATTTGCAGAGGGAAAAAGCAAAATCTATGTCTACAAAAGACTTTGGCCTGGAAGATACTAGTGAGGAAGAGAGTGACAGGGAATTAACTCTAGAGGTGAGAATTTAAAACCTAGTTATTTTTCAGTGTTTTTAAGTTGCCAGTTATTTCCTTGTGGTGGAAAGATACTATGAATCTCAGAGCTCAAAACGGCATAGCGAGCTACAATTTATTTATATTGCCCGTAACTAAATCTTCGTTTTACAGGAGATGTCGGTGAAAGGAAAAAGCACCAGAAAATCTAGCTTTGGAAAGGAAGTGGCGGATGACAAGGGTACAGCTTATGAAGAGGTCAAGAAAGACTTGAATGCTCTATCGAGGGAGGAGCTGATGGATGTTTTATATAGGTAGAGTCACAAGTTTCCAGTTCTATGTTCATATAGGAATTTATTTGTCCTTGTTTATTTATTTATTTTACTGGACTTCTCATTCTCGTGGTTTTTTATTTTTTTTTTCTCTGAAGGAAAATCTCCGTCCATTTGTTGCATGACTAGTGTATAGATTAGATTTTATGATTTTGTCTTTGAAAATTTCAAATGTTTGGTTTCTTAGTTTTTTTCCTCTTGCATATTGTGGCGTCCTTGATGTCCTGGGGTTTTCTTAACTTCTTTTTTTTGCTCCTAATTAGTGATTCTAATGGCAAAATCATGCCTTTTTTTTCTCCTTAATCTATCTATTACAGAACTTTTGTATGTTATGCTTGTGCGGTTGTGCCTGCTTAATTAACAATTTTGCTCTCCAGTTCTGCTCCGGAGTTAGTTGGTTTGCTGTCAGAGCTGAATGATGCTATTGAACAGCTTGAAAGCAAAGTTGATCCACTTTTAAATAAGGTAATGTGTGTTGTTTTGAGTGTTGCCATCTACTTATAAAAGCTAATGTTGTTTCATGTTTGATGCTTTGTTTTATTGGTCTTAAACTAGTTTTTCTGGATGTCAATTGGCTTCACGTGTAGCTTTAGTAATGCTATATTAAGATGGCATCTTAATTTCATTATTGTCCTTCCAAAGAGATGAATTTCTCGTCTTCTATCTACAATTCAATCATCCTACCACCACCGCCACCATCACACACACACATACAAAAAAAAAAAAAAATGTTGTGGATCTTAGAATGCGGTATGATGTGTTTCTTTTTTAAGTGCTGACTACTTCCATCGTTTGTTATTGTGTTTTTTTATTCCTATTTTTGTGTGCAGCAATTTAGTGATATACAAATTAATACCTTGGCTTGGCATTCAATATTATAAATGTTTTTATGGCAGGTTAAGAATGGGGAGATCATCTTGGAAGGAGGAATTCGCTATTTGGAGTTAAAGAAACTACTTCTGTTGTCGTATTGTCAATCTATAGCTTTCTATCTTCTTCTCAAATCTGAAGGGCAGCCTGTCCGTGATCATCCTGTACTTGCTCATCTTGTAGAGATCAAGAGCTTATTGGATAAGGTCTTCTATTCTCCTTAAAGACACGTCTTCATTTGTAGTAGTTCCCTTTTTATATTCCTCTAACCTCATAGTAATTTGTTTCCCACAGACAAAAGAACTTGATGGAAATCTTCCTGCAGAACTTGGGGAGATTCTTAAGAAGAGTAATTTGGTCAAAGCAGTGGTTAAGTTGGGCAAAGAGAATGCGACATCAGCACCTGACTCTTTTATGAAAGATCAGGAGCCCTCTCATGTCTCCACTGAAATCCAAGCAGCAGCTGAGGTAGTTACAACTTTAGTCTTGTGTAAAACTGTGTGTATTGGGGTGGGGGAATTTTAGGATTGTCAAATTAAACACAATTCAAAAGGATTTACGCGTTTTCTTTGAAATGATCCAAGTGATTATCATATTTTTTGTACCCCGTTAGAATTTTAGCAAAATATTCAAAAGCTGATAAATGTGTTTAGTCAATAAGTATGAGATACGTTTGCGTGCGTTTTGGCACATGGGACTCAAGTCTATGTCCATGGATTATTGCGTGTTGGTGATGCTCTTTTCAGCTGACTTTGACTTTTCTTTTATATGCACCTGAAGAACAATGGTGATTTGGTGAAGGTGGAGTTGTTGAAGGAAAATGAGAAAAGGACAGAGAAACGTAAGCGTCAGGTATATCACGCATGAAACAGTGCCAAATTAATTTCATATGCTGCACTATTTCCCCAGCTCTTTTCTTACGTGTTGCATTCTGGTGGTATTTTTCATCTTCCTAGACTCAAGCAGATTCAGTGTATCTGATGTAGAATTTGTTGATTGATGTGGCAGGATGATCAAGTTGCTGTGGAAAGCATGAAAATGTTTAAGGTAAGAGCTGCCCTCGAGGAAAAATTGAAGCAAAAGGGTGTCTTTAGTTCTATCGCACCGAAGGTTGACAAGGACCAGAAACTTCGGAAACCCTTGAACCGGTACCTGCTTTGCTCTAATACTTCAAGTTAATGCTTTCTCTTTGTTGAATGCTGATTTAGCTAAATTTTAAATGAACAGGCAGCTTGAAACATATGATGATTTTGATGATGATACTGCAAATGTTGAAGCTCCTAGTCGTGGATTGATAAATGGTAATGCTAGTTCTAGAAGCTCAAGAAAACTTTCCCAACTTGTGGCTGCTAATCCAAACAAGCCAAAGGTAGAAGCTTGATTTGAGCCTAATTTTAAATGTTTTTAGTAGTGTTTTGTGATAGGCTGAAAATTCATTAAGTACTAAATTGTAATGAGTATATTTTCCCTTTATTTCCGTAATCCTTTTCTTATTAGCATTTGTGCGTGTACATATAATTTTTTCTTTTTTGAAAGGTTGTTTCTGGAGATGATGACATACCAAAGAGGGACAATGTTGGAGAAAGACGGAGGAAACATGAGCTCCAAGTGTTGGCACGAGCTGGAATTATTCCCGAGGATGATGCTGGAGATGAAGTTGACCGTGATGTTGACTCTGACGAGGATGTTGAGATGGATGAGGATAGTGGATCAGAAGGCTCAGAAGATGAATTTTACAGACAAGTAAAACAACAAAGAGCAGAAAAACTCGCTGCCAAAGCTGAGATTTATTCAAGGTTTGTCTTTGACTGCATTTCGGTTTCATTGGTTGCTGCTTTTGTTTGTTCATGTGTGCAAGTTAAAATCTTAATTATAGCATTTCGGTACACTCCGGGTAACATGTGTTCTTTATGCTTTTCTTCTGCAGAAACTCAGCAGCCGTTGCTGCTTTGCCTGAAACCGCGAATGGGAAACGCCAGATTACTTATCAGGTGAGCATTCATTTCACCCTTTGGTTTAAATAGTTCATTTTATTTGAGATTTTAGACTGACTTTATTTATTTGCTGACCAATTTATAAACCAGATGGTGAAGAACAGAGGACTTACACGCCAACGCAAGAAGCTCACAAAGAATCCAAGAAAGAAATACAAGGTATTTATAAGCAAGAGTCGGTGATTTCTTTCACATTTCAAAATCAATTTTATAATTCATTATTTAATTACCTTCTCTCTCTTTGATACTCAATGCGCAGTTGAAGCACCAGAAGTCGTTGGTGCGTCGGAAAGGGCAAGTACGGGAAATCAAGAAGCCGATGGTTCCCTATGGTGGGGAGACCTCCGGTATCAATGCAGGAATCAGCCGGAGTATCAGATTTCGGAGCTGAGAAAAGCGGTTCTATGCTATATTTTCTGCTTGCAGTTGGCATTTTGAGTAGGCTGATCTGCATTGCAATTGGTGTTTATTTAGTACTAGTTTCTGTAATTTTTGCCTGCAAAAGGGTAAAAGTTATTTATGTCTCTCTGCTGAATAGCATTGATGTTTGGAATTTTTTTCCCGAAATTAATTGATTGATATATGAAGGTCGGTTTTCAAGACCGTCCCTGGTTCTCTTCCGACCAATCAAATAATTGCTTTATATCAATTGAGGAAAAAAAAAAAAAAGGAAAAGCCAGGAAGTTATTTATCTCATGTTTCATAAGCTTTTTGGGTCTGAAGAGTGAAGGTCATACCAACTCTTGGACGTGGATAGAAAAGAAAAACTTTTTATTTTCCATGTTTATTTACGAAATTGTAAACTTGTAATGGTATTTTTGAGAGGCTCTACAGTGGGACAATCCTTTAAAAAACTCTACTGGTGGAACATCATATATTTACCTTTAGATTAAATTCTGTACAGATTTATATTAAAAATTTACAGTGTACATGACTGTTTCTTTGTAAATCTGTTAAAAAAGTAATTCTAACGGTCAAAATAACATATTTCACTAATGGGTTTTTTTAAGAAGTCTTATCGTAAAGAAAGCCGGTATTTTAAAGAGGATTATGAAGTAACAATCAATCAATAGGTATGAAGAAACAACTTCTCCAGTGGAACACCAAAAAAAAAAAAAAAAAAAAAACAGTTAGACCCTTAAATGAAGAGTCTGTGCAAAAGACCCATATTCAACTGGTGGGTTTTTTTCAATAATTAAATATGTATAAATTCATATTAAAAATTTATAGCGCCATATAAAAGTATTCTTGCTACAAATTTAACCGTTGAAAATTTAATTTAACAGTAAAAGAAGAGTATTGTATTGGTGAGTTTTTTAGGGTGTTCTATCGCAGAGAATGCCTAATTTTTTCACTGAAAAAAGAAATGCCTTGTGAAGAAATTCTATTTTTTTAACTGAAAAAAAGAAATGCCTTATGAAAAAATTCCATTTTTTAAAAACGAAGAAGAAAAAGAAGATGAAGAAAGCATTCAATTATAAAAATATTTAAAAAAATTAAAGCTATTATGCTTTGTATTCTTATCTTTTTTATTATAAAAATACAAAAAAAAAGATTATAATTTCACAACGTCCACTCTTTTTTTAAAAAAAAAAAAAAAACCTCGTATTTTTTTTTTAAAATGTTACGATTAATATGATAATACCCATATGTCTTTTGTTCTCAATGATATTCAATTTACACTTTTAATTAAATAAATAAATTTCAAATTAATAATATAAAAATAGTAAAAATAATATATAAATTCCTATTAAATCCTAAAAATAAATAAATTTAAATAAATGAACATTGTTTCAATAATAATAATAATAATAATAATAAAGAACATACCCTAACCACTAATCAGTATTCCTTTATCTTCTTTTCTGCCGCTTCAGCCCCAAAAAGAAAACAAGATTTTGCAGTCGCAGCCCCACGCCGGCCGCCGCGAGAACCAGTCGCACGCTGCTGCTCCGGTACCTTCTTATTCTTCTTGCTTTGAAAGTAAGTTCATTTTCCTTTGTTTCACATTTTCTGTTCATCTTCTCTTTGCTTAGAGTCATTCGTTTTCTTCTTCTTCCACGAATGGTGCTTATTTTGGGATTTTAATTGTATAGCAGTGTTAGGGTTTCTAAATTTTTGGGTTGGTTAATCGAATACATTGCTCACTTGCTTAGAATTGGTGCTTTCAGAAATGAAAGTAATAAGATTTCTGATTGATTTCGGACAAAATCTGGATAAAAAAATGTTTTTTTTTTTTTTTTTTTTTTTTTTTGGGGGGTTTTTGGCGCTGGTGATAGGATTTAGTAAAATAGTGGTCTAATCTAATTACTTGTTTACAATTATTGCTTTCAGAAGTGACTCCATTAGGATGACTGGTTGAGTTTCGATCATATCAATCATCAGCATAATATAATTTAAAAAAAAAAAAAAAAAAAAAGAGAAGAAGTTTAAGAAGCAAAAAAAATTTCAAATATTTTCACCCTGATGCCTGTCGTCTGCTATAGCTCTGAGAACATGTGTTTTTACTTCACAGATCACAGATGGCCTTGAAAGGTGTATGGCAGCTTCAAAAGTTGATAGTTAATTACTGTGACTGGGGAGGAAGTAGTCGGGGTATCAGGTATTTTCTTTAAATTATCTTCTTCTATTCTGTTGTTTACTCGGATATCGTAGCTTAAATGGACGTGGAATTTGCTGAAAATCCTTCGCGATGATCATGAGAAAAAATAGTCTTCTGAAATTTATCTACAATTTTCAAGTATTGTTGTGTAGATATAATAGTATTGAGATAGTCATGAGAAATCGCTCTCTCAAATTTGTGCATTTTGATACCTATGCCATATTGCTATGTCATCAGTCATCATGGCATGCCCATTGGTGGATGTGATTACAATTCTCCTCTTTTCTTCTTTGCCACTGTCTCCGGCTTCGGTGGCAAATTCTCTTCAAGCTTTTGGTGGTTAGTTTGAATCTCTTGGTTAATGTTGAACATTATAGGGCATTTATGCAGTCGCAGCTACCAGCGTTTAAAGAGAAGAATCCTCAGCTAGAGGTGGTTACTGAGCTCATTCGTGGTCAGCACCCACATCTGAAAGGCTTATACAGTGAGACTCTCTCTCTCTCTCTCTCAAACACACACATGCGCGCGCACGCACACACACACGAAAACATCATTATAGGGCATTTTTAATGGCGATTTCCTTCCTCTGCCAAATGCACAGAGAACAAAAGTCAACGGGTAATATGTGTGAAGAATATGGACCCAGAAGAGATCCTTGAATATGCAACAAGACTGAGAAATTCGGTGGGAAGAAAGGTGGTAAAACTGAAGACTAGGCATGTAACCCAACACCCTAGTGTGCAAGGTACATGGACAACAGATGTGAAATTTTGAGGTGAAGCAAACGGATTCACAAGGAGCTTCTTATGGTAGTTACCATGTGGCATGTATCAATAACCATGACTGGCTCTCTCGCTTTTGAGATTATATTGAGTTTTCCATGCAATTTGGCATAGTTTGGACAGTCATAATAGCACAGGCTTGTAGTTGAAATTTCATGGTACCATTTTCTTTTAGGGATGCACAGCAACTTTTCTTCTCTCGTTTGTCCTCAAATGATAATCCATAGGTTTAAGCACGTCTTTAACAGGAACTTAAATTGGTAGAGCATATGAAAATTGAATATCAATCTCACAAAAGCCAGAGGTATACATGAAATGATTTTATGGGCACATAAGCTATATTTGGCCTTGAAAATCAAAAGTGAAAATTGCAATTTCTCCATTAGGTAAAACGCAAAGTTTAAAGTATCCTTACAGATTGTCAATCAAGATTAGAGATAGTTGTGAGCAATCTAATTAATAAAATTGTAGGAGTGTACTTGAAATTGTTTAATTTTGTGTCATTAAGTCAAGTGAAATGGTATTTTGAAGGAATTGGCAATAGAAAGGGATACTTGTACAATTTTTGATAATGGAAAGTTGAACATCGGATTTAGCTTGAATTCAAGGAAATATTCTTTAACTTTTCAGAGAGTTAAAAAACGTATTTAGAATGCGGGGGCAAAACATAATCAACGGCTCGCCTGTTTTCTTCCATTTGGATAATCTCCTTTCTCTAGTATATAATCAGTTCTTGAAATTGGAATTTCCATAAATATCAATCTTATCAATGTAAAGTACATGAAAAGGAAAAGCAATCGTGACAAACACTTGCAAAATGTTACAAAAGCTTCATATAAAGTCGATATACTCTCCTAATATCATCCGGTCAAAACTTTTGGCAGAATTATAAGCAAAAAATGACTGTTTGAAAGACAATTTTGCAAGCAAACGTCATTGAGAATAGTACATTGTTGGTAAAGCCTAAAAATACACCATTGACGAGCATTCGGCAACTCCCTCAGTTAAGGGCCGCTGGCTGCCTCGGCACCCTTCTTCTCTCTCTGTTTCTCCCTTTTCTTCTTGTTTTTCAATGCATTCTTGCTCATTGTTCTGTAATAGTTGAAACATTATTAGAAAAATATTTGATAAGAAAATTCACTTCATGATAGTTCAAATCAGGGAAAGAAACAAAGAAATTGATGTGTACTTACTCAGTAGGGCTCTGTCCAAATAACTGCCACGAAAAATCATTGAAATAATTGGAATCAGATCACGAAAAATCATTTCAAGCAACGATAAAAGAAGACACAATATGAGACGTTTATACCTCAGCTTGAACAGCAGCGGCATTCTTGGCATGTGGTGGGCGATAAGCAGCAGGCCTTGCTGCAGGAGGGTTTGTTGACGTGCTTTTTGCAGAAGTCTGAGAAACTTTTGACATCTCTCCTGCAAAATTTTCAGATTCCTCCATCAATAAATGAACGCCATAATAGATCCAAAGTAAGTAGTGGAAGAACACACAATATATGGTACTAGAGACCTTGTGGTTTGGTTTCGTCAACTTTTAACGTGTCGATAGCCTTGATGAGCTCATTAATGTCACCATATCTATCTAGTGACTCTGGTTTCCAATCAGCCTGACGGATAGTTCAGAACCAAAAATTAAAGCAGATCATGCTAAGCTTACAAGGAATTCCGTGCCAGTTCCAAGACTATTTCAAGAAGAATCCTGATTCCACCTCACCTGGAACAACTTGTCAAACATCTTCTTGAAGTAAAGTGAGCCGTTGTAGTGGAAAATTTTAATCCTATAACGAGAACAAAAACAAAACAATAGAATCAACCAACAGCAAAATAATTCTACTTGAGCAGACCACCAAAACAGCAACAAGACAGCTCTAATTCAGAAATGTCCCTTCTATGATTAGAAAATTAACATACCCATTGTCAACTTGTAGTCTTGGAGCTGTTGTGGCTGTCATGAAATAGCATCCATCTGAAGACCATTCACTAGTCACGGACAATTCAGCCTTGGTAGTTCCAAGCTGTTTCTTCTCTGTGTAATCCCAAAATGCCTACAAGGTCAACCATATATAATAAAATATAACATCAGAATTTACATATGATGACTGTTTCCTTTCCCTAAGGGCATACATAGATACACGAAGGGAAAGCTGAATCACAAATACAATGTGTACAGTAGGGAGAGTTGCGGAAAACTATTCAGAAAACTTTCTCCTTTAATTGTTTTTTTACCCCTTGATTACTTTTAGGGGTACAGCCAGAATGAAAACCGGAAGAAGAGGAAGAAAGAGATAAGAAGAGTAAGAATATCTAATCATGACATACCATATCACCAGGTAAGTTACCAAATCCAGCCAAACATAGAACTGTTGACGAGGGAATTAAGGCCCGCGAATATAAAATTTTTTCTTTTTTCTTTTTAATTCATTTTACAAGGACAAGAATACTTGAAAGAAAGATGATGGTCTGTTTTGCAACCCAAACCTTGTACAGGAGAAAAACTGGAGAAATTAAGTGAATTATTTACAAAAGGATACATTTTCCTTTGGGGTTCCATCGGATTGTGTTGTATGGGCCCGTTCCAAGCTCAAGTAGAGGATTGCACTTCTTGTCAAACACAGTTGCTTTAGCAGGCATAACTAAGATAGTCAAGGAACGGCACATATTCAAAGGATTGCAGAAAGAATTACAATGAATGATACCAGTTTAAGGTTTCATAATTATCAGCACTTGGTGCTTCTAGAGGAACTGCAACAAGAATGCAAAACTTAAGGAAGAATAGAAGGATACACCCATAAACAACAGCGAATTCTGAACCAGAATATGACCACTGAACATCATGAACAGGCCCCTCTTTACCTGCGAAAAAGCATAATGAAGAATTAGTTGGTGACACAGAGTTAAAACTGATTTTTGGTTTAAAAGGCAAAAAGTATAATGAAGAATTAGTTGATGACACAGATTTAAAACTGATTTTTGGTTTAAAAGGCAAAAGATCAAACATACGAAGAGGTACAAGCCCTTCATAGGACCCATCTGTAGTCAAGTAGTTCAACTTTGATTCCCCATAGTAACTTTGGTTGGTCTTATCAACATCTGACTGCACCACAACTAAAAGCCCAGTAGAGCCCTGATTCCAACTCAGTTGCACTGATGAGGATCGGAAAAAACTCTTCCGAGCTACGGGTTGGTTCTGTGGATCCTTTCCGCATGTAAATATCAGGACACTAGCAGGAACCCCCTGAATATAAGATTTAACTTCAGAATAAGTGAAAAAGACCAAAGAAAAGGATGTAATAAAAGTTAAAAAGAAGTCAAATAAGTTAATACTTGCTATACTTGGCACTCATTTTAACATAATAAAGCCTCGACTCAAACTCATTGATCAGCAAAGGTTACATAAACAGACATACAAGATTGGTTGTTACTCAAGCTTTCCTGTAAAGAGCAAAATAGAAGTAAAAGATTCCATTTCAAAAGTGGCATGTATAGCTATAGTTGCATAGCATATGATCCAACAAGTGTAATGAAAAACCAGCACCAGAGTTAAACTGGAATTGTGTTAAGAACCTTAGATTCGGGAACAAATACTGCCACATGAGAAGCAGGTGCCTTAGAAAGCTCAACTGCAGCCACTCCGGGAACTCTTATCCGATGGACAATTCCTTTGGACAAGTCTCCAGCCTCAAAGAACTGAATCTCATTGGTTGCTAAACGACATGCAACATCTTCATTGGAGCTGAATCTAATAGATGGCCTGATGAGCAGCAAAACGGAGAAAGATACCTTACAATCAAAGACTCATAAGCTAATATCACAAGATAAAGGCCTCACTCCTTTCCTTAGTTCGAATCATAACTCAAGTTTTTGCTACTCTCATGAAAATTCAAATTCAACTTTTCGTGCTAAAGTGTTTTCTCTCACATAAATTCACTTTTAAACTCGAATTAAAAACTCGAATCGGCGAAACGAACGAGACCAAAGATTAATCTAGAACACTCCCTTTGACCTATCTTGGTTGTTCATGTTTAATTCGCAAAATACAAGACCTTGTGAAATACTAAGTACCAAGTGCTTTTCGTCATGTTCTTTTGGAACTGCTGATAAACAGGGTCACCAGTCTCTATCTTCCACAAAGTCACATTCTTTTCTTGTGGGGTTGAGGATTTCTGGAAAGTCTGAAGATAAGTCCCACGAGGGGACAAGGTGGCCGCAGTGAAGTTCGGCACTTGAAAACTTCTTATCTCCTTGTAGTTGTTGCAATCATAGATACTAATCACGGAATCAGATTTCACCACCATTAGCCTAGTTCCATCTTCACTGAACTTTGCACTCTTGCAAGGACTCGTTTCAAGCTTGACACCCGGCTGACCCTCTCCGAACGGAGGACCGTTCCAGATTGAGAACCCCTCCGGTCCTCGGACTTGATCAAAAGAAAAGAACAAATAAGAAAAACAGAAATGATACAAAGATTTCTATGACTACACTACAGAATACTACAATTAGGTACCTAAAATCTCCAGGGCAGGTGCCATGGGAGCTTGAAGATGTGCCCGTCAAGGCAAGGTGACCCTAGTGATGAAATGTAGAGATTTAAGTGTTAGCATTTGAAAAAACAAAAAAAAAAAAATGAATTTAATGGAAAAACAACATCAAGGTTTTTTTTTTTTAGTTATTGTTCTAACTTATCCCAGCAATAAAGCAATTAGAAAACAATCTAATGGGCTAAGAGAAATCAGGCATTTATAAGCCTCTAAAATATCTATTTCAATACAAATTTGGTCGAATATCATAATCCTGCAATGGTAATACCACAAGCATCAAACCCTCAAATCAACAATGAGAATGAAATTATATATAACGATGATATGAATTCGTGTAAAACTTAAAATTTCTCAATCTCACTGTTGAGATATATAAATCCGTGTAAACACCTAGCTCAAATACAGATTTTGTGTAAAAACTCCTTGGTACAAAAAGTTCTTCGTAATTGTCAATCAATCAATAAAACGACGATGAAGTTGATTAAAGCGAAAGAAATCTTATACCAAGAACTGAACTTTATTAAAGCGCAAAGAAAAAGAGCTCTGTTTTCTCTCGAGCCAAACAGCGAAATTTGGTCCGAGTGCCTAGGGTTTAAGAGAACACGTAATTGTAGTTATTTTCTGTGTCTCTGGTAAGAACAATTTTCAGTTTTCAGAGTTCTAAAGGTTAGTGACACGGGCTCAGTATAAACGACATGTCGTTTGGATTTCTACGGATAACCGACATGTCGCAGTGGCTATCTCTCTGTAAATGGCCGCGTCGATGGCCACAATTAAAAACCGACATTAGTAACGCAAACGACAAAAAGCACCAAAACGGCAGATTGAGAAAGAACAAAACGATGGAAAAGTGAATCAACGTCGCTAGCATGGCACAAGGAGGGTTGTCATATCAACGTCAGCGATAACAGTGCTCACATCATCCGCCCAATTATACTGTTTAAAATAGTGTATAACGAACAATATTATATCACAACATTTAAAATATTTAATAAAATGTTTTCAACTGTCTTTAATTTTCATGTTTTAATATTTAAATCTATTAAATGACATACTATTATAATGTGATTAGTTAGATTAAATAATTTGTAGTTGTTGTAAAACGTGAAAAAAACGATGAGTTGACGTGGACAGAGGCTTTTCGATATACAACAACAATTTGATAATATTCAATTATCATCAACTAATTTGTTAAAAATAATACGGGTGAAAGCGTCCACTCACTTCCCAGATTTAATTTGGCATATTATTATTTATAATTTAATAAATTATGTTGACGATGTGTCTCCGATTACCATCTACGGGTTTCAGATTAGTGGTGAGAACTGTACAAATTACTATATATAATTTAACAAATTATCGGGTTTCAGATTAGTGGTGAGAACTGTACAAATTACTATATATAATTTAACAAATTATTATAAAAAGATAGCTCATCACAATAAAAAATAAAATAAAAACATAAAACCTTAAAAGAATTTGTTTAAAGGTCAGTTTTTATAATTTTCTCTTCATCTTACAAAATCTCAGCCCAAAAAGAAAAAAAAAAAAAAAAAAAAAAAAAACCCCAAGGACTTCAATGAAAAAGAAGCAATGACGACTTAGTCTCGTGTATATTGAATGAGTCTTCCATTTGCCTATGTCCACCGATTATTAGTATATAGATTGAGGTACTTCACTAATCTTCCAGTATTCTTAATTAATTAGCTGCTCACCAAAGTTATACTTAGTCCAAAAATGGTGGCTCTCAACTTCCATGGAGCGCTGCTTATCTTGCAAGCGGGTCTACTTGTCTTGCTTATCACGACTCACTCGAGTCTATCATCATCATCAGCAGCAGCAGCAGCAGCCTTGCAAGGCTGCTCCGACCGATGCGGAGACGTCGAAATCCCGTACCCGTTCGGCATGTCGGAAAACTGTTCCCTCAATGCCAATTTCACCATCAATTGCAGCAACTCGACCCCTATATACGGTGAAAATATAGGAGTCACCAACATATCCGCCGACCCTCTCGAGATGACCATCATGTGGTACGTCGCCAAAGACTGCTACAACGAGTCCGATGCACGCGTGTGGGGAACAAACCCTGGCTCAAGTTTCGCTCGCTCTCAATCTCCAGTCCCAAAAACAATTTCGTCGTCATCGGCTGCGACTCCTACGCCTACCTCACGGGTATTCACAAAGAGAACAGTTCCTTTTCCATGGGGCGCATGTCAACTTGTGTGGACAAGGACGACGTGCCTGACGATGGATCATGCTCCGGGATCGGGTGTTGTCAGGTAGACATACCCCAAGGGCTCAAGTATGCCAAGATATCGCCGTGGAGCTTTAAAAACCATACCAACGTCAAAAAATTTAACCCCTGCACTTACGCCTTTGTAGTCGAACGCACCCAGTTCAATTTCTCCCGCAATTTCCTTGGGAATTTCTCCGACACCAAAATGCCGGTGGTGGTTGATTGGGCGATAGATAATAAGACTAAGTGCGGCAGAGATAACACCATCCTCAAGTTCACGCCCGACGGGCTGCAGTACAACTGCAAATGCAAGGAGGGCTACCGGGGAAACGCTTACCTCCCTGCTGGTTGCCAAACAGGTGTTATTTTATTGAACGATAAGAGTTATACTCTTAACTATATATTGTTACAATATAAATAGTTTGATCTACGTCTTAACTGCCGAAACTTTTGAAATCGATTGATTAACTAACGGCCTCTGCATTTACTAATATGTAGAGTATTTAGAAATTAAGCATACCGTTTGTAAAACGACACCTAAAATGAAAACTAGTACCAACTTGGTGATGTTTATAATATTGCACTAATGATTTATAAATATCTTGCACATATATGTATAATTATATACATTTTCAATGGTTTGCAGATATTGATGAATGTGACTCCGGTGTCCACAATTGTACCAAGGATCAGATCTGTGATAACACCCCAGGGAGTTTTACTTGCAAGGATCGGCACCGCCAATCGTATAGTCTGATTTATAAGATTGTTATTGGTAGGTAGTGTAGATCAATATACACATGTGATGTACCACATCTATCTTGCCTTGACATATTATTGGATATACATGTACATGCACATATAAAATATGTATAAACATTTGCATTGAGAGGATAACCCAAATGGATTATATAAGATTATTTATGCAGCAATTAAAATATTTGTCACTTGGGGTCAATTAGTGTTATCACTTACAGTCGCGCTAGTACTTCTATCTAACTATGGTAATTTATTTTTCGGTCACAAATATAAAGAAGAAGAATTTTATAATAAATAACCACCACGTTGATACTAGTATTCGCGACTCTACACTACTAGATTTTCATTAAATTCCATTAAATTTGTTTATCTTTTTTTTATTACGATAAAATATGTTGTTTATCTTCATTTTATAATTATAATAAAATATTGATGTGATTAATCATTTACGTAACTCTAAAAAAGGAAACCATATCGAGCTTGAATTAAACAATTACTGCAAGCAAGTAGTTTTTGCTTAGAACTTTAAAATTTCAATCCGATGGGGCTTTCTACTTTCTAGAGAAGGATTTTATAGGGATATTGCAGTTGAAAACTGTTGAGATGAAATCAATTTAATGACCACTTATAAATGTACAGCTGCTGTAATAGGCGTCATTGCCTTATTCATCTGTGTCCCTTGGCTGTATTTGGTTTTAAAGAAGAGGAAGCTAATCCAACTCAAAGAGAAGTTCTTTCGTCAGAATGGTGGCTTAATTTTACGACAGAAACTCTCTGGAGATCGAGATCAATACAACTCCAATGAGACGGCGAAAATATTCACTGATGAAGAGCTGCTAAATGCGACCCTAAAATACGATGACTCAAGAATTATTGGCCAAGGAGGTTTTGGAACTGTCTACAAAGGCATTTTGCCAGATAATAGAATTGTTGCCATCAAGAAGTCCAAGCTTATGGACCAAAATCAAATCAAACAGTTCATAAACGAGGTAGTTGTTCTCTCCCAAATTAACCACAGGAATGTTGTCAAACTCTTGGGATGTTGTTTGGAAACTCAAGTTCCTTCACTTGTCTATGAATTTGTCCCTAATGGTACACTCTCTGACCACATACATGATAAGGAAAAATCATGTAAATTAGTTTGGGAAATTCGTCTAAGAATAGCTGCAGAAACTGCGGAGGTTTTGTCATATCTCCACTCGGCAGCCTCAACGCCAATCATTCACAGAGATGTGAAGCCTTCAAATATACTTGTAGACAACTACACTGCAAAAGTCTCCGATTTTGGAGCTTCTAGGTTGGTTCCTCAGGACCAAATTGAGTTGGCAACAATGGTGCAAGGTACTCTCGGATATTTAGACCCCGAGTACTTGCTCACCAACCAACTGACGGAAAAAAGCGATGTTTACAGCTTTGGAGTCGTTCTAGTGGAGCTATTAACAGGAAAGAAAGCGATATGTTTCGAGAGACCAGAAGCGGAGAGGAGTTTAGCTATGCATTTTCTGTCTT